GATGCATTTGTTGTGTGCAACAACATGCATTGGTGTACAATGCACACCCATAATTTCAAACTACATTAAAAAAAAAAAAAAGGTTTTTTTGCTGTATAACATGCACCCTTTTTTTAGGAAGAAACCTGAAAGATAGTGTGCCATGCTCTTTCTTATCTTTCGAAGTCATTAATTTGAAGATTTTTGTCCAAGCTTTCAAAGAACTTAATACTGAATTGACAAACAATGAGGGAAATAATATGTATGCGGGGAAAATCCTTAAAGGAGTAAATAATTCTGCAAAGAAGGTGAGCTATATTCAGTGCAGCCGTGAACAAGTATGTTACTTTAGGGTTTCGAGACAAGGGAGATGTAATTTGGGATAAAAATGCACTTCTGACCTGAATGAATTCGCAGAAATGGGATTCACAGATGCTGTCTCTTTCTGTAGTTATTTGAAGTCGTGATTTTGAAGTGAACATTGAAGGTATTAGTAAATAGTTTTTGCTTTAGTTGAAATACAGTGTTCCTTTGAGTGTAAATATGGCTTCTGCCAAAAGAAAGAAATAATATCTTTAATATGATTATATATATAAATTTATTATTTTAAAATTTGTTTCTAAAATATTCATGAGATATATGAGCAAGTATCAAAGGTGAAGACCTAAAATTTCATGCTTGCACTGAAATGAACATATGTAGAATGCAATTAATTTTCTGGCATTTAAAATATTGGTAAAAACTAGAGATCTTTTCAGCTCCAAAGGTTTAAAATATTAGATTTTCCCCAAAACTAGCAGTTATTATTGTTTTATGCAGGTATAAGACATTCTGTATCATTCAAGGGGATACTAACATTAGAACTTCAAAAAGCATTCAAAAAAGCAATTTCCAAACTACAATGTATTTTAAATATATAGCTTTAAATTTAAAAGTAAAGCAAAACAATTAATGTAAGCACAGAAATGATTAGGACTCATTGCATAAATTCTTTTTAGTATAAATGAATAAATACCATTTATTGTTTTTTTTTCGATATAGTGGTTTGAATATGGTTTCTCAGCATGATCAAAATTTCATCCCTTACTTTTAAATTTGTACCTTCCTTTTACATTTAAAACTTTGGTACTTTTCTGTTTTTCTATGCCTGTGTGTGGACACACACATATATACACATATTTATACTTACATACATACACAGTAAATACAAAAATGTATTATTATATGGTGCTGTTACACCCTTTCTTTATATACAATCTTTTCATAAAAGTTTACAATAAGGTGCCTATAGCACCCTTTTACACTTAAAACTTTGGTACTTTTCTGTTTTTGTACGTCTGCGTGTGCACACACATATACACATATTTATACCTACATAAATGCACAGAAAATACAAAAACATTTTATTATATGGTGCTGTTACACTAAAGGTATTTCTCCTGCCTTCTTAGCGAGTCTTTGTGGTGTAGTGGTCTGCACACTCAGCGCATAATTGAGAGGTCCACGGTTCGATTTCCAGCGAAAGGCATTGCTAATTTTTTATCTTGCCTGCTTCCAAAAATACCCAATGTCTCTACGACACCCTTTCTTTATATACAATCTTTTGGTAAAAGTTTACAATAAGGTACCTATAGCTTCTTTTTACACTTAAAACTTTGGTACTTTTCTGTTTTTGTATGTCTGTGTGCATACACATATATACACATATTTATACTTACATACATGCACAGAAAATACAAAAGCTTTTTACTATATGGTGCTGTTACACCTTTTCTTTATATACAATCTTTTGGTAAAAGTTACTATAAGGTAGCCCCTGACATTTCTGGCAATCTTTATAAAGTTGAAAATGGCACCCGAAACTAATATTTCGAAGTTGGCTGTGACCCAAAACAATGCCAAATTGTATGTTACAAAAACTATATACTTCATATGTGGTTGCATCTCATCATTAATGTCGGATGACAGCTGCAAATACATAATGCAAATCAATATAGTCTTGGAATTGATCCTCTTTCTGATTCCCATATTGGCGATGCCACATAAACTCTGCAAAATAGGAATACCAAATGGTCATCTCACAACTTCCTAAGACTCCTATGAGAAAATTCATGCCTAATGTGGCTCCACATGCCCTCAATGGTGTTGCAATGAGTACCTTTCTCGTAACAAACTCTCTCATAGCCAGCCACTTGATCCTTAAGATCGCCAGACCCACAACTTTCTTACAAACTTGACATTAATAGCACCATAATTAAACCTTCATTTATGCACCAATCAGTTATGTCTTTATGAAAAAAAAAATATTTAACAGACATAAAGTGACAGGACAACGATTTGGAAGTGACAGGACAACAATTAATTAGAACCACCCAGCTAACAAAAACCAAAGCACAATTAACGACAATTAAAATTCCAATAATTCAAAATACGGGATTTGTAGTGTATGATACACATACTACAAATCATGTAATTATTGATCACTAAAGTTCCAATCATGTTAAACTTCAGAAAAACATTGGCATGAACAAAAAAAAAAAAAAAAAAAGGCTGCCACTTTTTTTCAGAAAATGGATATCATCCTTGGTATCTGTCGCCAAATTAAAGAGCATCCTTCTAAACAAGAACCACAGAGTTTTTGTATGAAAATCAGTAAATACACTTGCCATGTTTTTTGGCACCTGCAAAAGAGAAGTCAAAGATCGCAGCATGATCTGGGGACCTAATCTTTCCAGCTGACTAAATATAGATTTACACACCTGAACAAAATTATTCATGTACAGAGATATATTTTCTGCCTTAAAATCACTCTTCCAAACAATTCAAACTTTCATTTGAAATACAGCAAGCAGCAATGATTGAAAGTTACACAAAAACTGAAGATAAGATGTATGCAGACAAATTTTTAAGCAAAACAATTTAATATTACTACAAACTTGTTAATGCATCAAATACCTCTACCATTTCCGGTTGATCTTTACATTATGGTAACTTGGCGTTTTTTTGGCGAAAATTTGGCGACCAACTCTCCTACAGCAACCCTCTATTTTTTTTTCCCGCCGCCATTTTGTCTTCACGAAGTAAAGATATGTTTCTTTTCTTTTTATCTACTGAACACTTCTTCCAACAATCTACTAGCCGAATTACACTTATGCTAGAAATTTTATCTAACAAAACTGCTTAATCATGACAAATATTCACTGCAAAATTGGGAAAAAGTGCACAATACCATACTCCTTACGCGTGTTTTCAAAATAACACATACACATAAACCATGTACACGCCGACTTATTTTTTACTTAAAAAAAACATCCCAGAATTGCACAAAAATGGCATTGCGCACACTCTTCACTATATCCATGTACACTGCTTTTTTCTCATAAATTAGAAAAATTTCACAAAAATACATGACAATTTTCTCAATCTTTAAACCCGGTAAAAAGAACATATATAAATTACCTGATCGCGAAAAAGTAATGAACATTTCCACATATAAAATAAATAAAATATCCAAAAACTTTTACCTCTAAATCATCTATTACATTATACACGTCACCAACGAATTCATACCGCAACCATTACAAATACTTAGTGTCAGATATTTTAAATTATTTCCATGCACGTTTACTTCAACTAAAACGTATACCAAATTCCTACAAACATAAATTAACAAATAAACTATCATTTAATTAAAATATAATTAAATTCAAAAACACTACTTAAAATATAAATGAGCACACACATTAAATTAATACATACATAAATACCCATTTCGAATTCACTTTAGTTACGGCCATGGGATCCAAATATTCACGAACACTGTTTCACACAACACAGAATAAAGCCAAATACAAAATTTCCAGATTTTTTCCCGATTTCCCCCCTTTTCCGATTAAAGAACCGTAATTCGTCCATTAATATCACATGACATATCCCATGATCTCTCATTTCCCTCACACAAAATAATGCGTAATCGGAACTGAGTACTGCTCACATTATTACCAAAGTCCCAGGTAGTAACCTTTATCGCCTCCAAAATGTCGCCAAACTACCAGTTACCATATTGTAAAGATCAACCGAATTTTCTAAAGCTAAATAGAAAATTCCTTTCAGAAAATTATTGTCTTGATTATAGGCATCAATTTAAAAGTTAAAAAACAGGTATTAGAAGTTGTGAATAATATTGACCACAAAAATTTGGAATACGAAAGGACAACGAAATGACAAATCACCTAAAGTACGAACACATAAAACTGATGGCGATAATCTTTATAAGGAAATATGCGATTGAAAGAGCTTCAGGTTTCTATAGCTGCAGGAATAGTAACCAAACCACTTCTTCCCGAAGTCGACACAAAGGTTTAAAAAAAGTTTCATACAATCGTTATTTTACAGAAAGGAAATTACTCAGTTTTTCCCCCACCATATTAGGCTATACGACGAATTGAAATACGATGTTACTTCCCAAATGCCAGTTATCCGAAAACTGCCGTAAAACCATCAAGCACTAATATATACACTAAATAAATTAATGAATTACAACTTACTTCCTTTAAAACATTCGAGCTTCGATACAGCTCCTATAATTAAAGAGTATATAATATCAATCAAAATATAAGAATTAAGGAGTTTCATGAAAACAAAACATAAACATTACAGTAGTTTCCAGCTGTTGCCATCATATTTCTTATAAACTTCGAAATTAAATACCGGTTTGACAGAAATTGTCTCGGCATTTAAATTTGTTTACCTCAACACGTTTCCATCATTCTAATCTTTCAATTTAAGGAAAAATCGAAAATTTCCCACTTAACTAGATATGTTAGTAAGGATATTTACTTTTAGCTAGTTCACATATATTCATTGAAAATTTATGCTCTTTAAAGATTAATTAAATATCACCAGAATTATAAAAATTATTTATCATAAATTTCTAAAATAATATATCACCTTCCGATTGGTGTAGCTGTTAACATAAGCATTTGTAATGTAATCCTTAGATAAGAACATCCATAACGAACTGTTCTTTGAAAGTACGAAAATTAGGATTCATTATGGCTTAATTATTTCTTACACATTTTAATATTTATGAAACTTTCCTCAGCTGGGGAATAAAAAATTCTTCACCCAACTCAAAAATTTAGCGCTGTTAATAGGCAGCATTGTTTGTTATTGTCATGTGATGATTGTATTAATTTTGTGTATTGGTGCTTTCATTTTTTAAAGCGAGTAAATACTTCATATAAAACCTTCCAGTTGTTGAGGCATTTTTAAAAAATACGAATATGGCACTATCACCTAGTACAAAACTGTCTACTCTTACGGATGATATCGAAAAAGAAGGTTTGTATAAAATAAAAAATATTGTAAAAATTTGTTTCAAATGAGAACTTACCGAAAATTATGAAATTTTCTATTAAACCTATTCATCTGAACATTACATTTTCTTTTTTGTAAACATAAATCGAGCGGTGCATAAATTTATTTCAGATGATATTCAAAGACTATCATTCGAAGGGAGGGGGATACGATTTTAAATTGGTATTGAAATATTAAAATCTGACTTTGAACCTCAGTTTAAAATCCAGTACATCCATTTGAAGATCAGTATAATAGGTTAATTATACATCCAAATACTGTACATAAAAACTCCCTATGGAAGTTAGGTTTACTCACCTTCAGATCTTTTTATCATGTATAATATTTTTCATACATTCTTTTGCATAAGAAGGTTAAGAATTTTAAAATACTGCATAGAATTTGTTTTGAATGGCATATCGTTTCCGAAATTTTACTTTTCTATATTTATATAATTAGATTAAATCCTAGGAAACTTATTGAAAATTTTTAGTATATCTTAACTGTTGTATTTTAGGTGTGCTGGATGCAACTGGCACATTACAACAGAGAGCAAATGAAATTAGATCGCAAGTGGTCAACTGGATGTCATATCGGCAGTAAGTGATTTATAGTTTAGTTTATTTAAATCATACATTGCTTATTTATGCATTGTGCTCTCGTTTGAATAACCTAGACTATTGCAGAAAATTGGTTTTAATCTGAGTATGTTATTAATTATTTCGCTAAAGTGTAGAATCGCCCACTTATTTGTTTGGCGCTTTTTACAAGAGTAAAAAGAATTGGATTTTTGTCAATTTTCTTTTACTTTTTAAGTGAAAAAAAGGTCTATGTGTACATGGATAAAGTCAAGGGAGTGCACAATGTCATTTTTGTGCAATACTGTGATGTTTTTTTAAGTGAAAATATTTCGATGTGCACATGGATACCGAGTATGTGCAATTCTTAAAAACGTGCCAAGCAGTGGGCGATTCTGCACTTTCTCCAATTATTTTTACACGTTAGGAGGTACTGTTTGTAATTTGAAAATGGAATGAATGCAGTATTATTTGCATATACAATTATGCCATTTTTAAATACTATATGCAAAATCTTTTAACTAGAAATTTCATTTCAGGCATATTCAGAACTCAATATCTTTGAATTGTAATTTTTTGAATGGTTATTAGTCTGTTATGTAGGATGTTTCATAAATAGCACAGGTTTTAAATTGTGTAACATTTTATTTTTTGTTTGTATGAAGATTGTCAGCATTGTTGTAATCAATTTTGTTACTTTTAATCACTGTAATTTATTGAGCATTAGTTGCTTTTGAGTTTAAATGCCATAGAATGTTAAAGAGGTTTATAGATGCCACGAAGCCCAGTGGTACAGTAGCTAGTGCATTGCACAGCAGCACCACAGGTCCAGGGTTCGATCCCTGGGCTGGACAAGGTCAACTAAGCCTTTCACCTTTGAATGGGCCAATAAAATGAGTACCAAGTTCGCTTGGGGACTAAACACCGGGGGTCCTGCGACAAACCGACCACTTTTCTAGGGCATATGCTCATGTACCCCAAGGCCCATGGTCAAGAAAGTAGATATTGGGCACTGCAGGCCTTGGCCCGCTAGGGCTGTTGCGCCACTGAGTTTAGTAGTCTATAGATGCCACAGACTACTAAGGGGTTCTTGGTTATAATGCATTGCTCATTAGTTAACCAACTAAGGCATGCATTATAAGCGTGTAAACTCATTACAAAAACAAGATGCATAATTCATAAATTTTGCATGATCTTTGTGCCTGCTCTAAGCGAAAGGAATACTGCAAATAGTGGTTTCAGTAGGAGCTCCCAGTGACATATCCCATGAGGGAGCAAAGCATGTAAAATTTCCTGATTATATGATCTGACTTCATAGTGGTGACCAGAAGTTACCTGCAGGGTTTTTTGACTTCACACCTTGTAGTATCTTTTTATGTAGTTATGTCAAGTATAATATTTATGTGAACAAATTGCAAATAGTTCCCAAACTGAACAGAGAAATTCAGTGGAAGTTTTTTGAAGAGGCCTTTGTGAAGTTTACCGACAGCTGAAAAAGTGATGATCGATTTATGTCAGGTATTCTTTTCCTGTATTAAATTGGGAAACTAATCTTATATGCGCCCTCAGGTCGGCAAAAATTTTTGGCCAGAAACTCCAATGTGCCATATTACTATCTAAATTTTTTGTCTACATTTCGAACTTTAAGCCTGAAATGTCTCCAAAAACAGGGTTTTTGCACATCCAAAAACCACATTTTGAACACACAATTTAAGCTAAAAATCCGAAACAAAAACAAAAAATGTGGATAGCAAAAACAAAAGTTTCTAACCAAAAATATTTAACAAAAATCCATGTACACGGCCATATGTTTTAACTTTAAAAAAAAAAAAAAAAAAAAAAAAAAAAAATCTATGAATTGCACAATATAAGGCAGCGAAGGAATCTATGAACTACGCACACCTCGCTTTCAGAAATTAACATAACAACAATAAATTTCAGGAATACCATATACACAGCATTCTGTTTAAACTTAAAAAAACATCTACGAATTGCACAATCTAGTCATTGCAAACAAATCAATAAAATGAACTAAAATAAATTACAAATAATTCATGGTGCAATATTACTATCTAAATTTTTTGTCTGCATTTCAAAGTTTAAACCTAAAATGTCTCCAAAAATGTGGTTTTCGCCACACAATTTAAGCTGAAAATATGAAACAAAAACAAAAATATAGATAGCAAAAAGGTAAAGTTTCTAACCAAAAATATTTGACAAGAATCCATGTACACAGCGATATGTGTTAACTTAAAAAAAAATCTATGAATTGCACAATATAGGCAGCAAAGGAATCTATGAACTACGCACACCTCGCGTTAATAAATTAACAACAATAAATTTCAAAGAATACCATGTACACATCATTCTGTTTAAACTTAAAAAAACATCTACGAATTGCACAATCTAGGCATTGTGCACAAATCAACAAAATAAACTAAAATAACTAAAATAAATTACAAATAATTCAAAAAAGAACAATAACTAACATAAATTCATAGTAAAAAAATCAATGAACATAACATTCTACAAAATAAAAACATTGAAATAAAATGCACTTACCATAATTGGATGCTTCTTCAGGCAGCAGAACATAGCTTTAACATGTCACCATGTACTCTTTATGATATTTATTTGACAGCCAGACTCGCTATCCACAGAATTCATACTATGGTTCACAAATAAATGTTCAAAAACCTTCTTTTCCTAAATCCTTGTAAGATTTCCAGCCATCCAAAAAAGTAGTTATACAAGGCTCAATCCACTGCATCACCATTTCCTTACTTCTATCAAGTACATTCACCAAAAATAATCTCCCAGACCCTCTTGCAACCACATCTCTCATTGCAACATAGGCCATTTCACTTCTAACACTTACATGAACATAGTATAATTGAAACTGACAGCCAATACTATAGGCCATTGTTTAAGCTGTAAGAAAAGTATGTTTCTGCTACTGCTATTTATTTAGTAATTAAATAAGGAATTTAATGTCTTTAGGATGTTCTCATATGCAGTTTCATGAGAAGAAAGTGTTTACATGAGATTTCATTTGCATATTTTCATATTGCCAGTTAGTCCTTGTACTTTGCTATAGGGAGAAATACAATGTGATGATGCAACTGTTATAGCTTTTGCAGAGAATGATTCCAAAATGAAATGCATCATCTTAACAGAACCAGAATAATAATACAATGTGATGATGCAACTGTTATAGCTTTTGCAGAGAATGATTCCAAAATGAAATGCATCATCTTAACAGAACCAGAATTTGGAGATGTCAGAACTCTTATTACATTGCATCAAGTTTATTGGCTGTGATTTGTGAATTGCAAAATTTTGTAAAGTATGCAGGGAATTAAGATACTCTAGTTTTAATATGACAGAGCTGTGATAGCTGCTGTAGCAGATTTGTTGTAAACACTGCTTTTAAGAGTTCACCATCAATGTTATTGCTTAGAATGGTACCTCACTAGAGCTTTGTGGTATGTAGAGTATTTTGGTGTTCAGCAATGAATCTTGCATCAGTCACGATCAAGATAATTACTATGTAAGAGTTTGAAGGTGACCATCAGGCAGAATAGTCTAAAAAAGTTGGCTGTGTGGGCTATAATTGAATATGAGCCAGTTTCTTTTAACTCTATCTCAGCATTACAGATGGAAATCGCTATATACAAGGGTGCATTCATGTTCATTACACATGACAATTTCTGCCTGCCTTAAATGTATCCTATTTTGGGTTGAATGTGTATTGGAAGAAAAGGAATCTAGGTACAAAGTGAGAGAGTTATTTTTTAATTATAGTCAAGAAAGTACCATTTATTCATGATATTTTGAAGAACTTTGAAATTTCAAGGCTAAACCCATGAAACTCGGAGGGTTGAAAAGGCCTTTCCTTTAGGTAAGAGGGCTCTCATATGTATGAGTGAAAAAAACCTTGATCTGTGAATAATAATTGCATATTGGCATCATATTGTTTTATTGCGTCATCTTGCAGTGTATTATATTTTACTGTGTTAACATAATTTGCTGTTGAAGATATTTGTGTATTCTGTAATGTTTGTAGTGATCATAATGTTTAACTAAGATATTGCTCGGGTATGGATATATATGCAGCATTGTTCAACAATTTGATGTTTAATTATTGCATTTTAAAAATTTGTATTTCAAGTTTTATTTTAATCTAATATATTACATAATTCTGCATAAGGAAGTCAGAAATGAAACTTTAGCAGTTTTTAATTAATTATTATAGCATAAGTATTAAATATTTTATGTGATTCCTTATTATCTTCATAATGTTTTTTAAGAAGATACTTCAATGTAGTAGTATTGATATCATTTTGGTTAAATAATGTAGTATTTTCATTTCTGTATCAAATTTATTAACTCTAAAACTATACATTATAAAACATATGAAACTTGCTAAAATTTCTTTAAATCTTCCTAGAAAACCGTACATCTAGTTTCTGAATATATTAAAACATTTTGTGGATTTTGTTGTATTGTGCATAATTCTGTATAGAATTTATGCAAAATGTGTTATTTCTTGATAAAATTTGATTATTAATTGATTTAATTTTTTTTCCTCTTTAGGAGTAACATGATAACCCAAGAAGACTATAATTTCATAATTGCATTTGATAAAGCTAGAGATAAAAAGGCAAGAGATGCTATCTTAGAAACACAGGCTCATCAGTGTTCAAAAACATTTCTGAGTTTGCTTGGCCACATTTCTAAAGATCAGACCTTGCAATATATATTGATTATGATTGATGATATGCTGCAGGTAATGACATATATTTATATTCATTTTTCTTTTTGAGTAGCTTTATGTTTTTTGGCTCTGATATTTAAGTTTTTTTTTTTTTTTTTTTTTTTTTTTTTTTGTTTAATTCTTAGGAGGATAAATCAAGAGTAGAACTTTTTAAGCCAACAAAGCATTCAAGGAAGAAGAGTGATTCAGATTGGAGTCCCTTCCTTAGTTTATTGAATCGACGTGATGGTTTCATTATGAACATGGTGAATTTTTCTTATCTTTTTCTACTACATTTATATATAAATATTAAAACTCAAATAAATGTACTCCAGTTGTTCAACTTGGATTTTAAAAACCTGTAAACTATATTTTCTTTACCCTAAAATAACTACTATTTCAAGACCCAATTGAATTATCTGTATATAAGCATTTAAGTCTGTTGACCATTGTTTTAATTTTATTAGCCAGTTGAATCTATCTTCTTGAATTTTTAACAGAAATCCTCTTGTGACTACATTTCTAGTTTCAATTGATAGAAATGTTTGCTAGATGTAGTAGAAGTAGACGCTTGATAACTTAAATCAAAATAAAAAATAAGATCATGACAATTTTAAAATTTTCATTAAAAGCCCATTCATTAAAGCCATTTTCAGCATTTAACTAACTGGAAAATTCAAGTAGCTAAAACATTTTAGAGATAAAAAAATAATTTTCTTTTGTCTGAAAAATTTAGTAAATGCAATATTTGTAACACCATTATAGAGTTCATAATACTATTAATATGTCACTAAAACTGTGATTTATATACCTTGTCACTTACCCCCTGGGGTGTGTACACTGGCTTGGTATTTTATCATGACAATAGCACTCTGGGGAAAAAATAATTTGAGCTTTTCAGTTCCAGAACCCAAGTGTGACGAATTCGAAAGACAAGAGCTAGCGTAGATGGTTTATTGGGTTCTTTCTAGGCTATATGGGAAAAAAAAAAAAAAAAAAAAAAAAATTAAATTAAAATAAATAAGCTTATAAAATATTGTTCTCACAGTAGGGTAAATAAGGTCCTGTTTAGATGAAAGTTCTGGTTTGGAAAGTTCCAAGACGAGGGTAGGCTCAGGATGAGGCTGTCTTGAATAAATCGAGCCTCTCAGCCGGTGGTTGGGCCGGACTGAGCTGTGTCCGAGTACGGTGCTCTTCGTAAGGTAGCGGTGAACCTGGCTACCTCGCTGTAAATCTCGTGACCGTGATATTAGTATCGCTCTATGCAGAGCAAAACAAAAATTTGCTCGTGGCCGACTGATGAAAGGAAACTGAACAATGTCTCCTTTCGAACAACTATAACAGGAACAAATAAGCTGAGATTGTTTTGTGACTGTTGGTCACTTCCTCTTTCCTAGAATTCGCTAAGAAATACTCTGTCCGTGCGAACTTTCGAGGTGATCATTCCTTTTCTGAGAACTTCGTGAAGGTCGATAAATAGCTTAAGTCATTATACCAAGGAAAGATCATTTATATAGTCAGACCAAGGGGAATTACGTATGTCCTCAAACTGGTGGTTCTGGTAGCTTAGCCAGTCTGAGTTTTCCAGGTAAAGTCTCTTGGTGACGGGTAGGCATGTAGTACTATTAGAGGCATTATCAACGATGAGTCAAATTGCCAGGTGGATAAAAGTGTTTATAGTGAGCCTTCCTCCATGTGGTATCTGAGACCCATGGTGTGTAAGCGTCTGGTGGCTCAGTTGAATCTCCGGGGAAAAGAGAGAGTTCAATTTAGTAAGTCTGCATAGAAGATTTGAGGCATCTGGTGCATAGCATAGTCTTTGTTTTAATCCTCTCAAAAGAGAGGACATAACCGGGCTTCCGCCTAATACAGAGTTGGTTCACAGGTATCACCCTAGTTGCATTCAGTTAGCAGGAAAGGGATTGCTAAAATTTGATTGATTGATTTATTGTCACTAAACACTGTGATTTAGCACTAGTAATGGATAGATATGACATCACAACATAATCATAAAAGGTTAATTTTAGTTTAATGATTAATTCTTTATTAGCCATTTTAATTTTTATAAAAAAGGAAATAAGTTATATTTTTCCCTTGCATTTTGAAAAACTAATAAATGTTTAGGATGGCAGAAAGTATTTTCACTTTACCGCTTCCAGGCATAAAAAAAAAAGTTGTGATACGCAACTTTGAAAACGAATAAAAAATGACAGTGTAAGATGAAATATTATAAGCGATTTTAATTTTTCTTATATGCTGTATCTGTAATTTGTATCTCTTTATTTTGTAACCAAATAAAGAATGATCTGTTTCTGATTTCTGCCAGAATGTTTGACGACATCTCAACCAAGTTTTGCATTCAGTGGAATTTCATCTTCAGATCAGATATTTCACTTTCATGTTTAATGACTACGAAACACATCAGCTTTTATGATGAATGTGTTTCTTTTCTCAAAATCTTATATAACTTTAAATATAGGCTTTTAATAGTCAAGTTTATAACAAATATGATGATTATTTTTATCATTTTTGAGCAGAAATTTTTCAAATTCGTTTGGCTTTCGAAAATGAATTCCATTTTTTATATGCTCTCAACTGTCTGAAATTTTTCTGTATCCAGGATTCAGCATTTTCCAAGCTTTCTGAAAAGTCAAGTTTCTACTGTACTGTTAAAATTGTATTGTTCATAGACAAGATTAACTTTTAAATTCTGAAGTCTTTTAAGAATCTTTTCCTTAAAATTCCAAGTAGCTTCTCAAAATCTTCATTTTCTTTTCTGCTTTAGTAAGTTAATATCACATTTTCTATTTATAGTGCTGTATTAAATTTTATTAAGAAAAATATGTACTTTATCTGAGCAGTTACCATGCTTTTAACTAAATTTTAACCATTACTTAAAATGGGGGAGGGGGGACTCAGGCATGCTGATTGGTACAGTTTTCTTAACCCAAAAGTGAAAAAAATGTTTTACTGTTTAATTTTGATGGCTTGGTTGTTTATGGTCAATTTTCAACAAAGCAGTAAGAAGATCAAGATAAAGTATTTTATAATCAATGACTTAAAATCTTTCATTATATTATGCTAATTACAAATTTCAGGTTTTTGTGTTTCTTGATAGATATTGGGTTGACTATAGAGTAATTTCGGTTTTTAAGTATGAAATAAAGCTTAGTTTTTCTATACAAAAAGTAAACTTTAATCAGTCAACTGTCTCCAGTCTATTCAATAACCAGTTGCCATCTTTTTGGTAACTTTATGATTCTGCAGTCATAGATCGTCTGGTATTTATCGGCAAAGAACTCAATACAATTTGAGGTCATCATTAGTACTGAAATTTTTTGCACTTAAGTTCTGTAAACTTTGAAATAAATGATAATACAATGGTACAAGGTTGGGGCTATATGGAGGATGCAACATCACTTCCCAACAAGCTCCAGGATACATGTTGCTAAAGATGTGTGAGGCCTCTTGTTGTCGTGGTAGATCACGATTCCTTTTCTGTTTGATTGCTTGTTCCAATAAATTGTTGGCAGTAAACATTTAAGTTGATTGTTTGGTTGCTTGGAAGCAGCTCAGAATACACAGTAGCTTTGTAATCTTATCAAATTGACAACATAACTATTTTGGGATGCAATTTAGCTTTGATATGATTTGTTCATCATACTTGGACCATGATCTTTTTCTATAAATTATTATTGTAGATAATCCATTTTATTATAGCCATAGATAATTCATTTAAAAAAGGGTCAATTAAATTACTTTTGAAATGTGTATTACAAATATTGATTCGTTAAGTGAATTACTTTTATTTTGTTCAGAATCCAAATATTGAGCTTCTTAACGAGTCCAAAACATCTTATTTGATTTCCAATTCTTGTGTGTGATACATTTAATCTTTTTGCAAACTTGCACACAGTTATGTGACTGTTCGATTCAGTTATGGCTTTAATAATTCATCAACTTCAGAAAATCAGCCAGAATGTTGGTTTTCTTTAAGTGGAAAATCTCCGGAACAAAATTTTTTAAACTAGTTCTGACATATTCATTTTGTTAAGTAATCACCATAAACTTTGCTTATATCTGTGAGCCTCAGCCACCTTCTTGCCTTTATGAAAATAAAAAAAGTTAAATATGTCGAAAATGCTTATTTTTTGCTCTTGTTTCTGTAGCAAGCTAAAAGTGCCAGCTGCCAAATCTCGAAGGGGAAATATATATATATATATACACAATTGACAGAAAGCTAACAAAACAAACATTCCCCCCCCTCAGTGGTTGGTTTTAGCCGTTTAGAGGCATTGGTTGGCCACTACTAAAGCCATAAGCAATGGTCTCTTTATTATGGCGACGCCTAATTGGTGAGCTACCATTGCCTCATATGAAGAGGCAAACAAATTACATCCATGCCTTCTCAGAGACTTGAACCCGGACCCTTCGGTATAGCAGTCAGAGTCACAAACTGCTTTCCTATCGAGGAGGTACAAAATAAACGTAATGCTATCTGTTTTTGCAATCTTAAAATTACTTTCATACCCATCCAATATTGTAATGTTCTATATTCTTAAGGCATATTTATGTGATGAACCTGGTAGTGATCAAATCACAGAATACTGGGAATTTGCTCTATGTTTAGTTTCCCAATGAACAATTTGACAGTGTAGAGTTTTTTATGTGCCCCCACAGTATTAATTTGAGTATGCGCCAGTTTTCCTAAGAATGTTTACGTAGGTATCATCTGTCCTAGGGCAAATAAACCTTCTATGCTCTACTGTGATAAATTCATTAGCTGTTTAGCATTAAGCTGTCAAATGTATATCACTGCAACTATATATAAGTTAACACTTAATTGATGAAATTTAACTGGTGTAACTGGAAAATTTTGTATTTTTAAATCTGTTATCTATATAATTTACCTTCATGTTTTCTATAATCCTAGCCTTTGAAATATGCAAATTGATTTAAACTAAATATTAGAAATTATAACATGTAAGGATTGTGTTGATAATTTTTGGAGTGAAATAGGGACATTTTTTCTGTTCGTGTAATTCACATGCATATTATCTGGTTTATTTTCCTCATATTTTTTTAGACTAGTAGAATTATTGCAAAATTAGCATGCTGGAGTAAGGAGCTAATGGATGGTTCTGATTTAAATTTCTACTTAACATGGTTAAAAGATCAACTTCGACAACCAGTAAGCTATGTCTCTTATAATTTTACTCCACATTAAACCATTCAGTTTGAATTATATTTGCTTAACATATTAATAAACTTTTTATTTTACTTGTATACTGAATTTAGTTCTGTAATTATAATCTATCAAATAATGTACCGTCATGTTACTTATATGTAGATTAGTAAACTTTTTATTTTCTATATACACTGAATTTAGTTCTGTAATTATAATCTATCAAATAATGTAATAATAATATAGAGTGGAATTAAAATATTTGCATTAAATCCTGTTCATTAAAATTTGTGGATACTATTTGAATAAGTATAATGATAATATTCAATGTTATTTATTTAATTTCAAAAACATTTTACATTAAAACATATTTTGAAGATATTGGATTTCCAGACGAATATTTAATTTTGAATAAATGATATAAAATCAAATAATACTCAGTTTTTTAGAATATAATTCTCTTGTCTTTTACAGAATAATGAGTACATCCAGTCTGTGGCACGGTGTCTACAAATGATGCTCCGTATTGATGAATATCGACTTGCATTTGTCACTGTTGATGGCATATCACAGTAAAAATTTTATGTGCAATCATCTGAAATGTTGTTAATTCACATTTTAAAATAATACATATTTTGCTTTAATACCAGGTTAATTGCAAAATAATTTATAATTAAGGTAGAAAACTTCAAATCAAGGGGAAGGACTATTTTTCAAAAATTTAATTTTAATATAATATCCATAATTTGTTATTATTTCTGTCCATCTTTCAAGCAACTTTTTAAGAATTTTTTTTTTTCCTCACCAAATACTTATTTATCGCATTTTTGACCTCCTCTTTACTTTGAAATAGGGTTGCCATACTACCTGGAAAATTGGGGAAACCGGTAAAAGTCAGGCAATTCAAAAATTGACCAAAAAAGTCGGGGAATTTCATACGGAAAAAAGCGGAAAAAATCCGCAAAAAAGCGAGTTTTGTTCCAACATTGGAAGCGATAACTTTCTTGGCGAATTATGTTTTGCATGAGAATCATTCAAGCAGCTGGCGTAGAGCCAATTTTCACAGCTCCAATTAGATTATCTTTTAGAAAAGCAAAGCAAGTTTTCAGTAACTTTGGTTTCCAGTAACCTTGAGAATCAAGAGACTCACATGTGCTGTACATGATGAATGAAAGAAAATACCTCCTGTTCTCGTATAAAACAAAATGAGTTTAATCCTAGTAACAGTACACATGGGATTTGGCTGCAGTGCATGTTGAACAAAAGAAAATACCTTCCCATTCTCGTATGAAATAAAATCGGTATAATCCTAGTAACGGTATACACAGGATTTGGTGCTATTATGATGAGTAGTAAACGGGTCATTTTGGTGTTGGCGACAGTTTTCAAAATCATGCCAAGGCTTGAGTACTGGGATTTTACCACAAAATCTTTTGAACCTTTTTTTTTTTTTTTTCAATAAATGCCTTATTTGACATTTTGCAGTAAAATAAAAAAATAGTAATCGATCATCTAGGCTAACCATTTAATATAACTATATTCGCCAAAAGACCGTTGATTATTGTAATTCAATTTTTAATTAATTAATTTTATTTTAATGTTATTTGTATCATTTGATGTTGCTTCTTCCCTCTAAATTTATTTATTATTAATTAAAAATATATTCAAATTTCAGACAATTTTCTCTGGCATAATCTTGAAATTAATTCAAGCAGTATGAGGATATATTATCATGAAATTTAACGCACATATTTTTTGCTCATGCATGTTGTTAAATAAATATAAAATACCTGAATTTATTTTAAAATATCATTAAATAGATTTCTTTCTTTAGCTGCAAAAAGGGACATTTTTTAAATCCAGATTGGGTAGATTCTAATCTCAGTCAGTTCAGAAAACAACTCCAATTATAGTTATAACAGTAATGCTTAGGGGATTATATATAATATATAATTTGCCAATATATATATAATCATATGTTATTGGCAAATTTTTCTGTTTTCAAATGGTACCATATTTAATTTACATCTCAGCACAGCGAATGCGCACTACGTGGATAGACTGGAATTTTCTTAAAACACACCTAGAAAACCTGGAAAAGTCAGGTAATTTCATTCTCCTGTTTGAGTGGCAGCCCTGTTGAAAGCTGTTGCGTACAAGAAAATACCACGAACTAGGCAATAGTCAGATCGGGTAACTACCGAATTTCTGAGCGTTTGAGTAAGAATTCCCCTTATTAGTTCAGTCAGTCTTATAGGATGGGATTTATTTTTATCCTCTTGAAAGACTACATTAGGTCTGTTGATTGGTTAAAGTTTGTTTCAGGTTACTTAAGAAGACAGTATAACTCAAGTAAGTATGAATGGTTTAACATTTTTCTAATATTTGAAAGTAACTCACATCTTCCATATCCTACCATATCCACAGCATGCTGTGTTTTCTGTGAGACTTTTCTTTTTTACTTTCTGTGCTGTCAGAATAGTATTACGTAAAGAATCCTTTTTTTTATTTTTTTTTCAACTTCTATGCAGAAAACTATTATACACCTCTGCAGAAATACATTTGCTAACAATAAAAAGTTTGTTTTAGTGGTCTCCCATTAAAGTTTGCATAAAATGTTTCAAATACAGCTTACATATGAGGATGTTATATTCAGAACAAGAAAAATATTTTGCATTTAATTGAAATATAATTACTGATTTACTTATATGCATATGAAAACATTTTCTGCATGAAATTTTATATCCACATAAATGATATAAAACCTACTTAACAGTTTTCTGAATTTAAAATTTTATTTATTTACTATAAGATCAAAGAAATTTTCTTTTTAATTAACTTAATATAGTAAAATTTGTTCAATCTTTTTTTTATTGGAATTTGTCAGTGTTTTCTAAATTAGCTAATTTGAAACTACCTTTGTAGCAATTTGTAAGAATTTGCAATGAAATTTAATGGGTCTTACATTTCTAATATGAATTTTATTTGTGTACTGCTTCTGAAAATATTCTCCTTAAGCAAAAACTTTCATTTCTTTCATTTTGGACATATGTCTTCATTCAGGTGAGGGGAAAAAAGGAAAGGTTTATTTTATTAACCTTTCCTTTTAAAAAAGGAAAGATTTATGTAGTGTGATAATTCTTTTAAGTATTATCTTTAAGAAACCTTAAGAGTTTAACCTGATTACTGTTAAGAATTGTATCATGTTCAGTATTTGACTTTGTTGACATTGAAACTATATAAGTAATATATAAATATATATATACATATATATATATTCTTACAAATATATATATATATGATACATAATATAAATATTCTTACAAATATATATATATATATATATATATATATATATATATATATATATTATAGTATTATAGGTATACTTTTCTTAAATTTAGCTTTCAAATATAATTATTGTTTTCATATGCAAGAAATAATTGGACCTTTTTTTTTTTTTTTTTTTTTTTTTTTTTTTTAGGCTGGTGAATGTTTTAGCTGGAAAAGGCAATTATCAGATACAGTACCAACTTATATTTTGTGTCTGGGTTATGACATTTAATGTTAATTTAGCAGAAAAAATGAACAGGTTGGTAAAAATTTTTCTTATTTATAGTAAATGGTTTTTATGATTTGCTATTCTTCATTTTTAAAATCTTGTCTATATATAAATTCTATATACACTATAATCAAGACTAGTATAAGTTCTTGATTATAGTGTATATAAGTCTTGATTAAGTATTATAAGTTCTTCAAGTTAATTTGAAATTTTTAAATAATAAATCCAAAGTTAAGAATTTAGTTTGGGTGCTTCTTGTCCTATGACTTTTTTTTTTTTAAATAAATGTGAACATTTATAATATTATATTATTGATGCAGTCAACTTAGAAATAGATATTACATTGGGGGAAGAAGAACTCTCTTGCTTTATGTGATGTATTTGATGCTTTGTTCGTGTGAATTATACAGGGATTCTGCTATGTATGTGGCATTTTCTTGAAACTTTTGGGCTTGGTGATAACTGTTTCATGAAGTGCAACTTGGGACAAGTGGATACCATGAAAAACAAACTAAAGATCATTCTCCACTTTTAACCAGAAAACATGATTTGGGCTGTAAATGAGTAATGATGTCTGTTCAGAATGAAGGATGAAGTTGCTTGAAATACAAATAACATGCAGAAATATAAAGTTAATTTTATGATGGTAGAAAGTATCATCACTTTCATCAAAATTTCAGGAGGGTCACATGTACTTGTAGTTCAGTCAGGACATGTATATTCTCTCAAGAGAATTCAGTAAGTGAAAATAAATGTTCAGTAGAATATAAAATGGTTTTTTCAGTGATGTTAGCAAATCAGTTGTGAAGTGGAATGCAATTTAAAATACTGTGTACAGTGGAAAAGTCGAACAATAACTTGAAGAAGTAATTCAGTAATACCATTCATTAAAGTTTCAGGACATACATAGTTTACATAGTCCAGTCAGGAGAAAAATATTAGATATGAGGAAAGAATTTCCAGATTTAAAAAAAAAAGGAGGGGGCGGGAAGGTACATTTTGAAATCTTCAGAATGCTGAAGATTTTGGCCAAATTATGTAGTTGAGTTATCTGAAGCAAGCTTTCAATATTTAATCAAGGTAGAATGCTAATGATGCTTACATTTAAGTCATAAATAATATTTGTGAAATTTTCTGGTGTAAAAGTGCATAATTAAAATATAAGATCACTTAGGACAATACTTCTCAAATCTTTTAGTGTTGCAACTGCCATGTGCACAGACTTAAATAATTATATAAAAATAAAAAATAAAGGACAGTTTTGTAGCTCCTGTTCTATTCAGCTGATTCATGAAATTCAGTGTCTCGGAAGTGTAATTTAGGATATATATTAGATTTATATATAGCATTAATCTAGTATAACAGTTTTTTCCGTATTTTAATTCTGACTAAAAAAATCTGAGGCGGGCACCACATGACTTCTTTGTAAGGCCTATTAAATTATACATATTTTTTACTGCATTTCATTTTTATTTCATCAAATTTCATTAGAGATATATTTCTCATTCAATTAATTCAGTTCTTACTTCGTGGCAAAGCAAAAATACATAAAACCTCAAAATATCTTCATTAAAATTAAAAAATATAGAAAAATATAAAACACCAAATACCTTTAAAACAATTAATAAAAAAATTTTTAGAATTGAAATTACAACACAAAAACAAGCAATTTGGCCAGCGGATGAAACAGCATATTTTTCAGTACGCAAAACTGAAAAATGTACTTTTAGTGCCAATTGGCAAAAAGACACTGAAGGTGCAGAAACTGACTTAATTTACTGTTCAGGTAAGCTTCAAATGTAAACAAATACGGCTGCTAAGTTAGGCTTAGCCACACTTAAGCAACATTTAAATTTTTAATATTTCTACAGCTATTGCATGCAATTTAATTAAAGGCTTAAAAACCTTAAGTGGAGCTTAACATAATTCAATCATTTTTAAAGTAATATTTACCAACATATAAGAATAAAAAGGCAGCTCACTGAGCTGAGTAACAGAGTAGGTATATATATATATTACATATATTATTTATATATATTACATATATATATATATATATATACATATATAATCTATTACATATATACATATATATATAATAGATTAAAACTCAGAAATAACTGATCAGCAAGAATTTGGATGCAATTAATTGATCCATAATGAATAGGAAATTAGAGGCGGAGGCAGATTAAATCTTTGTTTTTTTATTTCAACAAACATGTTGTGGCCACAAACAAGTTGGCATATTAAATGTGCCTATTCCAAAATGCTTACATTTTAGATAAATTTGCAGTAAGATAGAAGGAGCAGACAGGCAGCAGTCCAGTTAGGCCAAAGCGTTGAAAGCAAGTGCATTCAGGGTGAAATCTTAATTCAGACTGAGTTAGTTTTGGTTCTCAACTCATTTTGATTGGATAGTTAATATTGCTGTAAAATTACTGTTGTCTGCTTTAATTCCATTTACATCTCCAGAATTATGTAAGATTATGTACATACATATGTACAGACATAACGAAAAAGTCTCTTCTGAATCCCTTTTAAATCCATTTTGTAATCTGTTTTGAGAAAAAGAGTCGTTTTTTTTCTGTCCTTAAGGTACACTGCTCAAAACAAAAAATGGGACAGTGCTATATCTCCCATTCTACTGGGGCGATTCACGAAATTCAAATTGCGTTCTTCATGTCTCGAAAGCGTGACTTAGAATATATATTAGATTTATATATAGCACTATTCTAACATAGGTATTTTGACACAAAATCGGACTTTTTTTGAAATAACATACCAATTTTTTTTACATATTTCGATTCTATGACTCAAATTATGCCAGAATACCAAGTTTTGTAAAAATCGTACAAGTAGTTTTTAAAATATTAGCTCTCAAAATTTTAGCTCCTCAATATTAATTGAATTTGGCAAATATTTATTTATATCTCTTTTTTTATTAAACTTTTTTGATTTTTTCTCTCACATTTCAAAATTTAGGTTCATTCCAAATAAAATTTACCTGTTTTTTGTGTTTTATTTTTTAAATTTCTATTTTTAAATAATTTTTATAAACTTTTTGAAAAAAATTTTGAATTATAATGTATAAAATTTTTACCATCATCTTAAAGTAGGTATATTTTTAAGCATATCTGCAAAAAATTAGACTTTTTTATTCAAAATTTTCTAAGATATACACAAATTTACATATTTTCGTGTTTTGAAATTTGGCCTCTTTTTTTTGAGCGATAATAACGCCAAATGTGGTTTATGGATTATTGTTACACTGTATTGCCACAGCTATTTTTAACCTTAAATTTCAAGTAAAATTTTACGGAGAATTAATTATATGACATTTTTCCCTCAATGATGCGTAATAAATATTTATTAATACTATATGAAAAGCTATTTTTTAATAAATTTTTTAATATTTTTTTGAAATTTCTCTCTATCTTTTTTTTTTTTTAATAAGAGTGAATTTTTGTAAGAGTAAATTTTTTACCTTCGGGCGTTTTATCGTCTGCTACTACTTTACTTTCGTTTTTAAATCAAATTGTCTAAAACTGAGAATTTTCGTTTGATGTTTAATTGAATTTTATGACATTAAGTGCACAATTTATTCTAAACAAACTGATGCTTTTGAAGTGGCTGAAAAGAGCGGCTAATACTATCATCCATATTTTTAAAGCACAGTATATTTTTATAGAAACATAAGATTTAGAATAATCATTTTTATAAAAGTCAAATTATGATATAAACATACAACCCTCTAGAGACTGAATTAATGGAATTTCAATGGTTATGTAGGAAATGATCTGCAGCTACTTAATCGCTGGATAAGTCAGCAGGATTCTGTGGACAAGTAAGAATAATTATATAAACGGACACCCAACATTCTGGATTTCAATTAACAACGAGGGATACGATGTTTATTAAATGATATTTCAAGAAGTTTTTAAACATAAAAATCAACTCATATTTTATCCTAAAATGTATTTTGTGCATAGCGTATCGTATTATTCATTAATCCATAAAATTCTAATTTAGAATGTAATTGTCAAGAACTGAATTCCTAATCATCAGTAATATAATAAGTAATTATTACGGTTATTAATAAATCCTTCTTATAAAGTAATTGCAAATATTTCAAAATCTTTCTGTCTGAATGCAATTATTTTTCTGCGCAAATATTTTTTATTTTATATTTATCAAGATTGCACACGATGTTATTTATTTGCACTTCAATTCTTAACGTCAGTTCTAGTAGAAGTTACAAATCAATTATATTTAATTAAGGATTGGATTGGATTATTTAATTATGGCAAAGCACATGAGGGCTATCTGCCTAAAGGGAGGGATGCCTTCGTGGAGGACTTTCTAAGGGAAACTGGCTCGTATACACGTTACACATCGGGAAAACCACGAAAACACCCATGCAACCAGCCCGTTCGCGGGATTCGAACCTCGGACCGAACTACCAGTGATCAGCGTCTTTACCGCTCGGCCGTTTGTGGGCCTTTATGAAATGGAAGGTGATAACTTTATTTAAAATGATTGTCAGAAATGCCAAAATGTTTCGAAAAGTTGGATACCTTTTTAATATACTTTCAGAATGCTTAAAGAAAAAGAGAAGAAAAATAAATTTTTTCATAAAATTTAGTATTGTTTTTTTTTTTAATTTAAAACATTTCAATCTTATGATATTTGATTCTTGCGATTTCAAAAATAAAATATTTGACTAAAATATGAATAACATTTTAAGAAACCAAATGTAGGATAAAATTGTGTAAAGCAATGGGCACGATGATAAAACTGTTTGAAGCAGTGTATGCAAGTCATCCTAAGTTAAAATGTCGGTTATACATCTCTCTTATTTATATATATCTTTTCTGAACGGTACATTGAAAGGCGTGTAATACTGTGCTTTACTGTATTTTGTCTTTTAATATAGTATGCAGTTTTCAAACTCATCGTAGTCTGGGTTACAAAGTATTCTTCCGAAAGAAACGCAGTTCAAATAAAAAAATCAAATTCTGGAAAATTGATATTAATAAATATATTTAAAATGCTCAATTCAAAGGAATAAATAGAAAATTTTTAAACAATTATCTGAAGAGACAATGCAACACAAACAATTAAAATAAAAGTATAAAAATTAAAATATTACCTAAAATAATAACTATGACGAAAAATATATATGTATAAAGAAAACTATTTGAAAAAAAATAAATGCTGCACCTTTATTTACGCAGTTCGAATAGGTAAATAGAAATTTTTAAAACAGTCATTCGGAAAAAAAAAAAAAAAAAATGTGCAACTTAAACAATTAAAATGAAATTCGAAAAAGAAAAAATTACTTAAAATAATAAGTTATAATTAAAAATATAATATAAAGAATATTATTTGGAAAAAAGGAATGATGGTGACTTTTTTTCCCTCTCACGGGAAAGGAAACTAGGTTGCCATATATTAAGAAGTTCGCCAAGTGAAATATTCTTGGCGCAAACTGACAAAAAAGTGCCAACATAAATTTGTGAATTTCTCCGTAAAATTCGCTCCAAATTTTACAAAATTTCATATTTAGGCGTAATTTGAGTCGTAGAATCGAAATATGTAAAAAAATTGGTATGTTATTTCAGAAAAAGTCCGATTTTGTGTCAAAATACCTATGTTAGAATAGTGCTATATATAAATCTAATATATATCCTCAGTCGCACTTTCGAGACATGAAGAACACAATTTGAATTTTGTCAATCGGCCCAGTAGATCAAGAGATATAGGACTGTCCCTTTTTTTTTTTTTTTTTTTTTTTTTTTTTTGAGTAGTGTACATATATCACTCGAAAACTTTGTTAAATTGCATTTGATAACGATTGTAATGGATATTTTTGTTAAAATATGACACTTGAAATTTTTCGCGGTTACAATACTTCCTTTACTCTCTCTGTACAAGGAAGTAATTATGCTTAAAAATCAAATTTTCTAAAATTTGCTGAGAAACATACCAAATAACTCCAAATGTAATTTGGTGCACTTTTATTCCTTTTTCTCAAGAATAAGTCACTTTGCAAACTTCTCAGTTTATGTTAACTTTTTCATTTTCCATTGCATTTTGATTGTACAGAAAAATATCTCATTTCTTCTTTCTTTGAAATATATCACAATTGTTATTACTATTTTTTTCTTTTTTAAGAATTTTATTTTAATTATGTGAGTTGTGTAGTTGAATTATAGTTCTTCAAGTAGTTATTTAAAAAAAATTATTTGTTCATTTGGATTGTGTACTTTATTCATGTTTATTCATATAGACTTTTTTAAATTTTATTTCGTTTATTTGAATTGCTTTTCTTTCAAAAGAATACTATGTGCCTAGTATTCATCATCATATGTTTTAAAATTGCTTCCCTATAAATGATGTCTGACACATTTTGCTAGATTCCTATTCCCATTCTATTCTTCGACAGTTTTTTTCCATGTCAGGATTACTTGCATCAAATTGCACGCCATGCTGTACAGAATCACAGCTACTGCACATCCCGAATAGGCACGTTGAAAGGACTCACAGTTTTCACACACTTTGTGGCTTTTACATGGCTTACCTTAGTACTGAACGTTTTGCTTCTTACGCACTCATGCAGCCACAAGGGAGAATGCTAATTTTCCAACATTAACTAACAAGAAATGAAAAAAATAATTATGTCATTATTGTATGAATATTGATCAAGTTAAGTTTATTAATAACTTCGTTAAAAATGAAATTAATTAATTTCTTTTGGATATTGAGTAATTTTTGTTTATTAATTCATGTATCTTGTTTGCATAAGATCCATACCATTTGCTTGTCAGAGCCACATGTAGTTTGCAAGCTGTGCTATGCCAGACCATGACATATATGATATACAGTTTTCAAATCTGCAAATAAATTGCAGTGCATTTAAAATGGAGGAAAGTAAAATAGCAGATGATAAAAGGATGAAAGTAAAAATTTCCTGTTATAAAACGGGGAAAAAATCCTTACATTTTTATTAATATTCTTTATGAATTAAAAAATAGCTTTGCATTTATTATTAATAAGTATTTATTTCATGTCACTTACATCATGAAAATTTTAAAGGTTAGAAGTAAAAAAATTTTTGAAACATTTATGAAAATTAAAAATACGAATTTTAAAAATAAATAGGAAACAATGCATGAATTTTATTTGGTTTAAACTTAAATTTTAGTGAAATATGAAATTAAGTAAGTTTAATTTAAATATTGGTATTATTAAATATGTGCCAAATTCAATGAACATTGTGGGAGTTAAATTTTGATTGCTAATTTTACAAAATTTGCTGCTGCAATTTTTACAATACTTGACATTTAGCTGGGATTTTGGAAAACTTGTCCTCAAATTATGCTGTGGCATAATAAGTGTAGATTTGATATATATAGAAGTGTAAACTTGATATATATATAAATATAGAAAAAATTGGCTTTTCTTTCCAGAAAAAGTCTGATTTTTGTATCAAAATGTGTTTGTAAGAATAACGCTATTAATCTAATATATATCCTAAGTCATGATTTCAAGACATGAAAAACACAAGTTGAATTTTATCTTTCAGCTGAGTAGAATATAAATAAAGACTGCCACCTTTTTTTTTTTTTTTTTTTTTTTTTTTTTTTGTGAGTTATTGTATGTAGTTGCTTTTGGGAAAAAAGAAAGAAGTATCCTGAAAGAAATTAATGTATTTATAAAATTATGATAAAAATGATTAAATTAATTAATAGTTAATTACTAATTGTGAACGGATATAAGAAAACAAATAAGACATCAGAATGTTTTACAACCCATCAAAAATTGTCTCCTGACTTTAAAGAATTTTCATAAAGGCAGATTCCCCAAGCAATTGTATACCATTTAGATTTAATGCCTATTATTACCCATATTACTGTGTTGTGTAATTTGACATTGGTGGTATTTTTGTTCTTTGTCATGAAATTACTTAAGAAATTTTCATTCTAATATATATTTTGTTTTCTTTAGGTTTAATATTATACCTATTTTGTCAGATATTTTGAGTGAATGTCCAAAAGAGAAAGTTACTAGAATTATTTTGGCAACTCTAAGGGTAATTATATTTAAAGTATTAAGAAAACTAATTATAATAATATAATGTATAAACTAATTATAATAACGCTTTGTAAAATCCCTCGTTTCTGTGTAAATGTGTTATTTAAATAAAAACATAGTCTTAAGGTAGGAAATTATTTAAAAAAATGTGCAGAAAAAATGTAATAAAAATAAATAATAGTAAAATAAATATCAATAAACAGAATCACATACATTTTTTTTTTTCTGTGAACGTAGTATATTTAAAAATTTTTTCAAATGATTGCTTTTTGATTACATTTATTATTATTATATTATTTGTGAATAAATTTATTATATTTTAGACAATATATTCAAAATTATTTAATTTTTGCTTTTAAAGTACTCAATTATTTTTGAATGTATTTTATTTATTATATGTATTTCCTAGAATAAGTGAAGGATGATTTGTCTCAAATAAGGAAAATTTAGTGTCTTATTTTTTTAAAAAATTATTTAAAATTGTTTTATTATTAATAGTAAATTCAGATTAATCAATTTTGAAATCTATCAGAAAGTAATCTGATCTTAGTTTCTTTAACATTATGATAAACTTAAAACTTAGCCTACCTTGAAAATAAAAATTAAAGTATTTTTCATATTTCTTAAATCTTGAAATCAATTATAGTTTGAAAATGTTTTATTAAATAAATTAAACAAATTGAAATAGAAATTTTGCACAAAGTTATTTAAAGATGTTGCTGTTAACAAATTTGATAGAGTAAAATGGGCTTGTTTTAAGGTAATATACAAATCATACAGAGATTACAAATGAAGGCAGTCTGTGTTTTATGTATTTTTTATACATTTTCATGCACACTATTGTATCTTCTTATTTTTTATATTTCATTTAAAGAATCTGATTGAGAAACCCGAAGACCCAGCAATAAGTAGAGATCATGCAATAGTTATGGTGCAATGCAAGGTACTGAAACAATTAGATATTCTTCAAAGTAGGCGATTTGATGATCCTGATATTGTTGAAGATCTTGAATTCTTGAATGGTAAACTTCAGACCAGTATTCAAGATTTAAGGTAATATGCACATATTTTGTGTGGAACTTTTATAACCAGTTATTTAAAATTGTGTTGTTTTTATTTCTGCAGTCTGTGCATTGCTGGTTTCTCAGGAATTAGTTGTTGTCATTAAAACCCTTGTGCAAAATTGCTTCTAATGTTATAAGTCTGTACTTGTTTATTAATCTGCATTTTGTTGAGACTAAATCTTTATTATTTATCATTTTTATTATTTAGAAAGTCATTTTGTAATAAGTACATTTTTCTTCTTTTCCATTAAGTAAGTATTGGTGGTGTGAAATCATTTATTTAGAAGGCAACTTTATATTTTCAAAGAAGCTTTAGATGGGAGACGAGAAGATATTGCTATAAAATGGCATTACATATATATGAACTTGTCATATTGAAAAGAGTGCAAGGAAATGTTTAAAATTCTAATTTCAAACATGAGAGTTGATAAAATTTTTATGTATGGAAAGGGCAACATGTGTTTGTAAAGGCATTTGTTGGATTGTGCGAAATGGTATGCGATTGGAAAAACAAAATTAAGATAAAGACTGAAACAGGTCTGTAAAGACCTAAAAGTAGCCAAAAGTATCATGTCAAGAATCTGAAAAAGTTTATAGACGCTGATGATGTAAATAGACAACCAGATCAAGGTTGAAAACAGACTCTCAAGACCATTCTTTGGCAAAACTTGCTAACAGAAATAGAAAACTGCCATCAACCCAGAGTGCCAGAGATTTCACTATGACTACAGGAGCTTGACTATCCAAATATGCAGTGAGAGCAACACTGCATAAAAAGAGGGCTGAATGGTAAGGAAACTTAGAATTAGTCCTACTAATCTGACTGTGAAATGTGCCTGGTTACAGTGGTACAGAGATCTTTATGATTGTAGTACCATAGACTGGAGCCAAGTTCTCTTTAGTGGTGAACCAGTTTTTGTTTGAAGAGTGATTCTAGAGGAGCAAAACACATGCAATAAACATGAACATCTTGAAAGGCATCAGTATAACAGGTGATGGAAGCAGGTTGCAAACAGGAATCATTTTCAATGATCACATTGACCTACACAATTTTAACCAACACCTTCTTAAACACAAGTCTCCGTACTGAAGGCTCGCAGTTTAGTGACGACACAAACTGTTAGCTATTTCGATAGGGTGTGAAAGATAGCCCCTTTGGCCGAAACCAAGTTCATCCAGATGATATTAGCAAGTTAGGGAAATTTCATCCTCGGTTGTGAGAGGACGCGTTAATGAATCAAAGCGATATTTTAGTATGCTTAATTTAATCTCAATATTTTTTGGGGGTTTTCATTATGCATTTAAAGTGTTGTGTGCAGTTATGCCGAGGATATTATAATGATGGCTCTAAAGTGTCAGTATATAGATTTCCTAAACAACAAGATGTATTAAATAAATGGCTAAAATCGACACTGCAAGAAAATTTTACCATTTCGAAGTATTCTAAGGTAAGTTATGCCTAATTTGAAATGTAAATTTATTAAGGTATTTGCTTCTGTATTTATTTAAAAGAATGGATACCTTAATATTAAGGAATTTCATTTCAATATTATACCATTGTGTATAATATTGCTTAAAGTAATCACATATCATTTAGTGTAATTATATATGGAATTGCATGGTTAATAATTATGTATCGAATTGTATGCTAAGTATTCACTTAATTTTTAAAATCTCCAATTTTTTACATTTTTATTAATTTTATAACTTGGAACTTTTAACTTCATATGTATATAGCAGAAAATGAAAGTATTTAATTTAATATTTAATGAATTTTTGTACTATAAGTTTTTGTAAAGATAATGTGAAGGCAATAAATATGCTTATGTTTTTTTAAATTGTAATGTAATATAAATTGAATTTTTTAAATTGTAATATAATATATAGTTTTACACAAAATAAGAAATAAATTAAATTTCTAATGCATGAAAATTTAAATATTATTAAACCTTATGTCACTGAGAATCATTTTCTCCCCCCCCTCCCCGAGTGGGAAGTAAAGACACATATGCTTGATATTACATGTTTTGTTAAAAAATAAATTTCATTACAAGAAATCTTACTTTTATTACTTTATAAAATTAATTTAATTAGGTTATTTTTTAAATTTGCCGGATTTAGGTCTGTGAATTACATTTCCATGAGAAAGATTTTCAGCATGTTTCTGAGAAATACGATGAAAAAAAAGGGAGAAGAAAATAGAAGTTCCGTTAAAACGACTATGATTGAAAGGAAATGCTGTTCTCTCAATTTTCAGTGCTTGCCCCAAATATTTGTCTTCAACAAAATTATTTCGTAAAAAGCCGCTGAAGAGAGAAGGGAAAATGAGCAACTATTTTTATTTAATGTTAATTTATGTGAAAAAATCTACAATTTGAATGTAATAAAAATAAGCACATTTTGAGAATTTTATTGAAATGCTTGGTAAAATGACAGCAGGGCAAAAAATTGTGAATTTCGTTATGGGAGGAGGGAAGGATGAAGTGTTAATGCAAGGGACATCCGGTATCCTATTATGTCATAGCACTTTTCTTGACTTAATTAGGCTCTACACTCCTGTAATGAGGATTGGAAACCTCGGTTAACACCTTGCTATTTACTAAGAACTGTAATACAATACACTGTAATACAATTTGTGTATTGTATGTGTATATAGAGTTACTTTAATGGAAGCTTTTGTGCTAAATCTGCCCTGCTAAAATTTAAAAGCTTCTAATATCCTTAAAAATACTTCTGAACATCCTTCCAATATATTTTTTCTGCAGTTAAGTGACTTGAATATTATTAGTATGGAGGGAAATTCTAACTTTTCATTATTGTTACTTAATCAAAAGCCAACCATTACTTTAAAGCATGATTTTAACTGTAAACATACAATATAAGAGCATAAAAAATTAATAATATATAATATATTTTGTGCACGTGAATATGTTTCCAATATTATATCCGTGAACAAACTGAAAATAATATCTTCATCTCTCTCTGTCTCTCTCTATATAAAGTAAAACAAAAAGAAAAATAGGCTAATCTTTGGAATATGGTAACAGGTAGTTTGGCGACATTTTGGTAAGGCGATAAAGGTTACTAGCTAGGACTTTAGCAGTGTACATGGATAAAGTCAAGAGTGTGCATAATGCCATTTTTGTGCGATTCTGGGATGTTTTTTTAAGTGAAAATAGGTCGATGTGTACATGGATGATACCGTGTATGTGCAATTAGTAAAAACGCGGCAAGCAGTGGGTGATTTTGCACTTTCTCCCAGTTTCGCACCTAATCTTCATCATGATTAAGCATTTTTGTTCCATAAAAGTTCTAGTATAAGCGTAATTCAGCTAGCGGATTGTTGGAAAAAATGTTAAGTAAAAAAAAAAAAAAAAATGCCTTTACTTCTTGAAAACAAAATAGCGTCCAAAACAAAACTAGCAGGTTGCTGTAGCAGGGTTGGTTGCCAAATTTTCGCCAAAAAACCGCCAAGCTACCATAATCCAAAGATTAACCGAAAAATAATATGCATCCACATCATTAGAAGAAACTATCCTTTTAGTAAAGCTTTAAAAACACATATACTTTTAAGGCAGGTAGTGGGTAACCAACGGCGATTGCCAGCCACCAGTTTGTGATGTCACGATCTGGTGGTTGGGCTTCTGTTTAAGGTGGTGTTGATTTTAATAGAGCTTTTAAGGATTTCTGAAATATACAGAAATGAGGCTCTTAATCTTTTTATCAAGTTGTTTAGGTGTGCAGTCCATAATAACTTTCCCCTAATCAACAATAATGCTTGCCTCTCATTCTACTGCACTAGTGTCCGACTGCCTTCAAAGCAAAGGAATCTAGAAGATGAAGTGGCTCACATATTTTGTGGATTTAAATCTGATAGTACATGTATGGGATCAGGGCCGGATTTATACTTGATAAGCTATCTGAGATATGGGTCCCTTTATAAGTCCAGCTATTATATGGCAATGCCAAATATGATTTTTGGATACTAGAAGGTTTTTTTGGGGGGCCCTAAGCTATAGCTTGTGTAGCTTATATGTAAATCCTGCACTGTATGGGATACACTAGGATGCTGATTTACATCGATGCAGCCCCGCACCTATCACTTTCTGAGAGTTTCATTATGAATATACTTTGTTATTGCTGGAACTTCTGGACAATCTAATTCACAGCATGTAAAATCGTAAAGCTTGCATTTCTATCAGGTAGGCAAGCTTTACGCTTAATTCGATACTTTTATGATAAATTTGCACACCTTATAAATTTTTTTTTGTATACCTGTAGAAAGATGCAACAATAACTTTTCCCTACCAGGACTTGTCTGTTGACATCCAGCCATCATTTCAGATTTCTGGACAATACAGATGATAAAATCCTGTACCAATGCTATATCTTCAAACAAAAGTCACTCATTACTAAAATTAAGAGTGTCCTGCATGTCATGGTTGTTTACATTCCTGTGTTAGAACATCACCAAAATGGATGATGTAGTTTCAATTTTAAATATCTTTAATAAATCCAACCACTCTCGGTCTATTCAAATGAAACTGCATGCATTTAACCCCTTCGCGCCGACTGTCACGTATATGTGCCAGCAACGAACGCACTTACCTACTGGCGGACACGCAGGCGTGCCAGAGGATTGTTCCATTCTCTACCGACTGTCACGTATTTGTGCCAGTACTTTGGAACGTTTTTCAAACTATAATTTCTGCCACAAGATGGCACTGTATGTCCATATGGTTTCAGATACATGTAAATTAGACCTTCTACTCGAAATGAGAGAAGCATGACTCACATGTGTTTTTTGATTATATAAACAAACGGGGAAATAAATGTTTCCGAATGGCGTGATTTATGACGTCTCTTTAAATCGCACTTTATTCGCACGTGGTAGTTGTTTACTGTAAGTAGAGAAGTTTTATTTGCTCTAAAGCGTTGGGTATTTCGGATTGCAGTTCAGTTTTTAAAAAATAATTAGATCTTGTTAGACGTGAATTCTTTGTTTTTACCGTTGCAATGTCGAAGCGTCGAAAATGTTTAACAGAGCATGAAATAGCAGAAATGATGCAAAATATTTCAGATATTGATTCTGAAATTCTGATATTCTGATATTGATTCTGAAAGATTAACTGAAAGACATTTTCCAAAACTTTGTTCAGAAGAGACTGATAAGAAAATGAGACGACGATGCTTCGTTTGTTCACATTCCCGGAAAAATCCTCCAAAACAGCAAATGAGTTATTATGAGTGCAAGGAATGTAACGTAGGACTGTGTGTAGATCCTTGTTTTGAAATTTTTGATACGAAAAGAGAATTTTATGTAATATATTTAGTTTTCAGATGTATAATGTTAAAATTCATAAAATGGTGAGTAATTAAAATGTGTAAAATATGCATTTAAACAAGAAATAAGGTAATTAAAGTATATATATAAAAATATTTATAAAGCATAAGCCGTTTAAATACTCTATAGAGCATTATTAAACAATGCGTTGATACTTCGGAAATTTCATGGATTTAGGCTTAGTAGCAAAAAAGCCCCCAGCCCTGGAGAGACGCTCGCGTAAGACACTGCCGGCCTCAGCGATAAGCGCGCGTTTTCGCTACCCGGCTCGAAGGGGTTAATAATAAAACATTTACACGTAAACATTTTGTGATAATTCAGCAATACAGATAAGCTTAAAAAATAAGAATTACAACAGTTATAGGTCAGTACGTGTTTAGCGACCGACTTCTATGAACAAGAAAAATGTCAAAAGCGTGTTGCCAACGTAGGGCAATGAAAAGTGGAGATTAATTCGAGAGGCGAGGAAGTGAACAGTGGCAACATGTCAGCTGGGTCTGTGTGATGTCACTTAATTTCTTCTTTATTTGCAGTTGCATACTACATCTCCATAGTAATATGCATTTTTTTTTTAAACATTACTCCCACTAAATTTCTTTCATTCCTTTCTAAACCACAGTGTGATGCGGATTTTAGCATATCGGAGAGCACGGGACAACACCTCTATAACCACGCAATATGATGGCAAAGTACTGGTGTCACCGTGTTCCGTTACATGGTCACTGACCATCAGCTATTTGAAAAGTGAAACAAGCAGCAAAAGGGAAGTCTGTAAATAATAACCCTTCTGGGCTAAAAAAGTATATGGCAACACTAACACTCAGGAATTCTCAAAGTGTGCTGTTTTTAAAAATTCTGTGATTTTGCTGTTGTCTTTTATGTGATGTTAGTGTGAAGAAAGTGATGTTTACTAATAAATTAAAAAAAGATGTAGTTAGGTCAGCAGGGATAAGTCCAAAAACAGATAGATGAACTGTGAGCTCAATAAGAAAAAACAAAAAAACTTAATAAACTCTTGTGTGATGTTAAAATATGAATCCTTTCAAAAATTTTTTTTATTAAGTCTTATATTTAGTGGTGAAATTATCTGCAAAATCAAAAATTATAGTGGAAGAAATTAAATATAGAAGATGGACGTATGTTAAATACAGATGGTGGCATTGAAAATGCCATATTGCAACATGCAAGAGTTTGCAATGACTTGGCCCATCAAGCAGTTAAAAAAAAAAAAAAAAAGTCTAGATGTATGTTTAGAGACAAACAAGTGAAACAGTATTAGATTTGTATTAGACTGCAAGAATGTGATGGCAAAATTGAAGTCTCTATGTGCCATTTGATAAGGAAGAAATAATAATGATGGTAATGTTAGGCTGAATTCATAACTGAGAGACAAGGATTTAAAGTGTTACTGGAAAGTTACTTTTAATGAAAATATGGAAAATGGTTACTGCAGTGTCTGCTTTTCATAGTCTCCACATAGATTATGCGTGGATTTCTCTTTGCATTTCTTGCTATACGAAATTTAAAATATTTTTTTGGAACTGTATTTTTTTAATAAAAGGTCCGTATAATAAAGCCATTACATGTAAGACAATTTAAGTTGATAAAATCAATAGCAAAATCTTTTTGTATTCTTTTGAGATATAAGCTGACATGATTGCGTTTGCAAACTAGAATTACACTGGCCATCAAAATTAAAGAATCATAACAGAAATAAAATGTACCTAATACTTAATGTAAAATTATTAATATAAATTTGTACAGAAGCATTAGTTAGCATAAATTACAATGTTTGGCAGTTGACTATTCACAAGATATTGAAATTAAAACCAAATTTACCAAAATCGGAAAGTGATGGAAAAATTAAATAACCTCTTATGGAAAAAAAATTGTCTTCAGTATGGTGTATGGTCACCTTGGAAAGATATGCACAATCTTGATTTCATGCCGCCCAGACGATATAGTGGTTAGGGTATAAGGTATTTCTTCCACCTTCTTGGCGTGCCTTCATGGTGTAGTGGTTCTGCACACTGGGCTGGTATTCCAAACGTCCATGGTTCGATTCCCGGCAAAGGCGGTTGCTAACTTTTCATCTCTCCTGCTTCTAGTTAACCTAATGACTATAAGTGCTGCTCGAACTAAAAAAAGATGTTGGAGATGATTCTCCTCACCCAGGATTTGGCGATTGGGTCCCCTAAAAACCCCAGTCACCCTTTAAAAGGGGGAATATATAAGGTATTTCTCCCACCTTCTTGCCGTGCCTTCGTGGTGTAGTGGTTCTGCACACTGGGCTGGTATTCCAGAGGTCTGTGGTTTGATTTCCATCGAAGGTGGTTGCTAATTTTTCATCTCTCTGGCTTCCAATTAACCTAATGACTCTACAAGGGAAGCCTGACTGCAATACCGAAGGGCCTGGGTTCGAATCCTTGAGAAGGAATGGTTGTAACTGTCCATCCGTCCGTCCCTTCATAGGAAGGCGATGGTGGCCCACCTATTAGGTTCCTTCATAATAAAGAGACCACCACATCTGGCCTTGTATAGATTAATAGACTGTGTTACACTGTAATTGTTCACAATCTGCCATTGGGGGGAAAAAATCTTGATTTTATAGACTTTACCAAAGTCTGTGAACTAGTCTTTATCAAGTTTTGTAGAATTGCATTCTTCAAAAAGTGCACTTTTGAGCTCCTGAAGGGTCGGGAAGAAATTTGTTGCTTTAAGGCATCCTATACATGCTCAGTCGGGTTCAAATTGGGTGAATAAGGTGGGCAATCCATTCAAGTGATATCTTTTATTTGCAAGTATTCTGACACCTCGGCTAAGCGTTATCATCCATTAGCAAAAACTCTGGGCCGACAGCACCCCTAAACAGTCTTAACTTGGGATTCAAGACCATGTCCACATACCTCCGAGCTACAGAGCCTTCTTGAAAGATTTGTCATGATTCCTTCCCAAACCACTAAACTGTGGTTGCAGAAACAGGATATATTCATGGACAAGGGAAGGCAAGTTGCATGTTCCTTCCTCTCTCCATATCTAAAATTACTGTTTCGACTATATCTGGACTCGTCAGTAAACAATACTCGGACCAAGTCGTCTTGGCTCCATTGAACATGATGTGGTGCCAATTTAAATGGGACCCTCTGGAATGAGTGGGCCACAAACCATTGGTTTCAATGCATACAGTCCAACCTTGTTAAGCCTTCATGCAGCAGTAGAATGGCTAATTTGAGTTTTTGTGGTAGTCTAAAGGTCTAAAACCTTGGAGAGTCTCTCTTGGAGTCGCTTTGAAGTTTCTCCGAGCCAGCAATGACAGAAAGTGGTCTTCTGATGCAGTTATTGCTCTTGGTCGCCTTTGGCCAGGCTGTCTATCAAGTTAGCCAGTGCTTGAAAATTGTCTCCAAACTCTGAATATGACACTTTGAAGGATATTCAAATCTTTGATGAGCTGCATTGTATTTGACCTCCCTCGATTCTAGCAATTATTCGCAATTTTTTATCTTCACTCAAGTGAATGTAACTGTTGGTCATAACTACTGAATATTGATCAATCTCAGAAACCATATTCACTTTAAGCAGCACTACAGACCAGAATTCCAACATGTGCCTGTTGCACACCATATTGTAAGCCACCGAATTTCCATATTACCAGTGTTAACGTATACATGGAAGTGCGGTTTTGTGTTCAATTGTATTTAATTAACATTAATAATTAAAGCACCGTGCATTGGTTGTGACTTTACCTTAGTGAGCATATTTTTTCTCATTATCCTTTAATTTTTATGACCAGTGTACTTGTTATATGAGCTGTGAATTATACTACATGTATAAATTACCTTAGCTATGTCTGCTTAGTTATGGGCACATCCTTAATGATTCATATCACACTGCATTTATACTAAAGTATTTATTTAATGTTCAAATCAAATTTAAAATTGGTAATAAATTTCTGACATCTTTGTACTGGAAGAGTATATTTCTGTAATTCTTTATTGTTTATCTAGCTCTTTTGATGAATATTCAACTGAAATAAAATCTGGAAGGCTAGAATGGAGTCCTGTACACAATTCGGAGAAGTTCTGGAGAGAAAATACTCATAGGCTAAATGAGAAAAATTATGAGTTACTTAAGTAAATATGCATGAAAATATTTTCTTATGCATATATATATATATATATATATATTACTCAGATTTTTATCTTTAAACAATAGTGACTTTAAGCATAAAAAAATTATCAAAAATTTTATTTACTTGTAGGATTCTAATTTATATTTTGCAAACAAGTAAAGATCCTCTTGCTTTGAGTGTGGCAGCTCATGATATTGGTGAATATGTTAGACATTATCCTCGTGGAAAGCAGTAAGTTTTGTGTTTTTTCATTGTATTAAATCTTACATATCTGGATATTCCTTGTATGAATCCAAAGATGAATGGGTATACCTCAATCACTTTTGTCAGAGGCCACAGCACCTTGCGTTTGTCATCACACTCGATGAGAACTATGCCCTCAATTTTTATCTGTTGAGAAACGGCAGTGTAGATAAACGTTGCACTAGCAAGCCGAGATATTCACTTCTAAATCTCTTTCTCAAGAGCTCTACTCTTTTGCTTCTATAGATGTCTCAGTTTCTTGTTAAAATCAACTTTATCAAGGTGATCCAAGTCAGGAACTTCAAAGACTGGAATTTCACCTAAAAATAAAGACGGTGTCAAAGGGAGGGAATTAGTGTACATAAGTGAGTGGTCTGGCACATAAGTAAGTTCTTTGACTCATAAGAGTGGTCTGACATCCGCAGTTACTTCACAGTCGCACAACACACTCACCAGTTCTTCATAATTCAGACACGACTGGCCTAGGACTCGACGCAAAAGCTTCTTAATCATTTGAACAAGTCGTTCCCAAAAGCCACTCTGCCATGGTGTTGCGTGTGGACTGAACTTCCAATTGATCTTGTTTGTAGTGGCTTCTATCTCAACGGTATTCCAACTAATTGATCTCAAGAGATTATTGGATGCAATAAAATTATTTCCCTTGTCACTATAAATTATCCATGGCCTCCTCCTATGGCTAATAAATCTTTTAAGGACAAGTAAAAATCCTTGAGTTGAAAGGAACAAAATCAGTTCCAAATGAACCGCCCTCAAAACAGCGGAGGTGAAAAGTAAAATCCAAGCTTTTTTATTATCCTTCAAAATTAATGGGCCAGCTAAATCAACTCCGACAATCTCGAAAACACGAGCATCTCTGTTTTCTGGTAGAATAGCAGACACAGTCTGTAGTAGTTTCTTCCATGTCACCTGCACCTGACACATGCATATAAAGCTTTTTGAATTGTAACTCTGCTTTCCAGGTTCCAAAATATCTCTCTGAGTGTTGACATCAGTACATGAGACATAGTTAGATGTTTATCAATTATCAATTTCTCCATAGTTTTATGATTCTTCGAAAGTAACATTAGATAAATTAAATTTTCATGGTCTTTCCTTTCAGTCAACCTAAACTTGACACCTAAAATGCCTTCGTCATCTTTTAACACACTGACTTCTTCTTAATATCATCATATTGAATAATCTTCACAATAGATTTCTCAGCTCTCATCAATTCATAAACTTTTAACTCTCTTGCTTCTCTTTCTTCTTTCCTCTTTCAGATATTTCCTATGAATATGTGTATCCACCCAATCATTCTCAGTATTTTTTTATACTTTGAAAAACAGCCAAAGAATTCTGAAGACATATCGCTAACATTGCTTAATGAAACTATAACTGCTTTACATTTATCAGTATTAACCTCTTCTTTATTATCGATTGGGATAGAATGAGGCCGTTCTTCTTCTGAAAGTGCCAACCAGGGTGGCAAAGACAGCAAGCAATTCAAGTCGTGGATACCTCCCACCATCTTGATTCAATAAGTTTCTTCACACAACATCCTCTTGATGGTATATCGTCTGGGTTTTCTGTACCTGGTACATGATGCCAATTTTCACGGTTTGATAGGATTCTAATTTCTGAAAGTCTGTTATTTACAAAAGTGCTCCAAACTTCTACATTCTTCATTCAGAACAGTGTCCTGAATATTCCTTTGAAATTTCGACCTTAAGGTTCTTCTTGACAAATGAGGCTAATCACACTGCAATAAGACAAGCAAGCAATTCAAATCGTGGTATACTTTTTTTTTTTTTTTTCTTTCAAGGGAGCTACTCATGCTTTGGCTTGCAGTAGAGTCACTTTGACCTTTTTATTTTGACTTGCTGTACAAATATACTGCTCTTGCATACAATCCCTGTGATGCATTGGCAAACATATGCTAACTAAAAAATTGTTCTTCTGTCAGTGGAACTAGTCTGGGAATCTTCATAGATGATGATAACAAGGGCAATTCTTTGGCCCAGTGCAAGAATTTTCCTTTGATATCTTCAGGTAGCTCTGCATCCCAGCTCAGTTTAGTTTCCCAGCTCTTTCGCAAGTATAACTTTGGAGGGAGTGTAAAAGGGCAGGTGAAATCTAGTGGGTCAAAAATTCTCTGTGTAAAAGTCGATATTAGGGATGTCACAAAACAAGAATCTTCATATTTATCCCACAGAAGATCATGTCCTTTCAATGGGTCGCCCATTGTAAATTTTTTCACTGCTCAATTCTCTTTCTTCCCATCCTCTCAAGTCAAAGTTAGCACTTCCCATTAACTGAGTTGATTTTGCAGTAAAATATTTTGCTTCTTTATTTAAATTCACTGAATTGACACAGTTGTCAACATAGAAGAATTTTTTTAATTTCATAGCCTCTTCATTCAAAGAAGGTTCATCTTGGCCTAAATGAGAATTGATTACTGCTTATAAAAGAAATGGACTGCATTGTAGTTCGAAGACTACTCTGTAATGGAGAAATTTTCTTAATTCATTTTGTTCTGAGTTTTTCCACCACAGGAATCTAAAATCACGATCATTTCTTTGAACAGCTATTTGGAGAAAAGCTCTTCTAATATCTGAAGTAATCCCTATTTTTCCTTGCCTAAATTCAAGAGGCAATCTAGGTATCAATTCAGTTAAAAATTTTGACCTTTTGCTAAACAGTTGTTAAGTGACAGGAAATCCTTTTGTTTGCATGAGGTATCAAATACAGGTCTTACTGCTGTTGTACAGTTATCTTTGAATACTGGTCTGTGGGGAAAGTAATGATTGTTAACCCATTCCTCTTCTTCTGGTACTTCTTCTATTACTACAGATTGGAGCCACTTTTCGAACACTGCATTGTATGTTTCAAATTTATCTTTTAACATGAGCTTCTTTGTTGTGGAAATCAATCGTTTTTCAGCAACTTCTCTGTTACTTGGTAAAGCTTCTTTATGGTAGATCCAAGGTGAACTGAGTTCAATCGATCGTCTGCCCTCTTCAGAGTCTTGTGAAAGTGATCCCACACTTCTTCTTCCGACTCTGAACCAGTTTTATTTTCTTTAGCATCTGCAATTCCCAGTACTTCTAGCTTCCACAAGTTTTCTGTGTCACTGCTGTGAGTCAACATGAATGTTATTATTGATGACACGGATAAGTAGTTTCTTTCTGAAACATAATCATTTATCTTTCCTATGACTTTCCATCGAAGTAATGATTCCAGTTTGCCCATTTTCTGTTTTTTGAATTCTTCAGGTTAACAGTGCATCTGTGAGGTCAGCTCCAATAACTTGTATTTTCAAATCCTTTCTTCCTATATCAGATGTATGGATATTTTTTTGCCTTAATTCTTCTATCCATGGTCCAGGTTGTAAACTGACTACTGGTCTGCAAATTGTCGACTGTTCCAACAAGATTAGTTGTCTAGAAAAATCACCTTTTGGGCTTCTAACTTTCACTTCATAACATTTGTGAATTTCTGTCTTTATTGTTACTTCTCCAAAAAGCACATGAATTAAAGATTCAGATCCACTTGCATGGCACCTTATGTCTACAGCAGTCTGCTTAATTTGTATGAATGTTGTAACTCTGTGACGATAAGTGCCCTTACTGTCTTGTGCCTTTTGTTTGCATCGATATTAATTAATAGTGAAGAAACACCTCATCTAGGAAATTGGTGCTCGCAAGTGATACATTTTGTGTTTCCTCTTCTTTATTCTTTTCAATATCATTGCTCTTTTGATTGGTGCACAAATCCAGACACATGACACCCCAGTGCCATTTCGACATATCAAAAATCATACATTTGTCTTGTATTGCTTAGCCCTATGTCCAATTTTGAAGCAAAAGGAAAAAAAAAAAAAAAAAAAAAAAAAAAAAAAAAAAAAAAAAAAAAAAAAAAAAAAAACTTCTTTTTCTTAATTTCATCATTTTTTTGACTCAGAATCATCTTCTGAGCAACAAAGCAATCTTTACTTGCATGATTTTTCTCACAAAATATGCAAGAATTCTTAACATCATAATTTGTTCCTTTATTATACCATGAGAGTAAATCATTTGCTGTAGGCATGACATGTTCACCCTAGAAACTTTTATCACTTTTACTTTCTTTCTTTGCACCCAAATCAATTAATTTAAATCCAGCTTTCGCCAAAGAAATTCTTTGCTCTCCTTCCACTTCATTCTCTAAAAACAACAATAATTGTTTCAATTTCTCAGAGAATTTTCTGCTGTAATTATTGATGCATAATTTCGATGCCAAACTCATAAAATTTCCTCAGGAATGCAAGATTCAACGAGCGGAAACAACATTGCAGTGTATTTGTTGCTTAACATTCCTATTGACTCTAACGAAAGTAAATACGACTTTTAACTTGTCATACAATTCTGATATACTACATTTTCCCTTTTCATCAGTAACATATTTAATAATTAGACCTAATAATTCCCGAATATAGAATTTTACCAACAAATTTTCCCTGCTGAACCTATTTCTGAAGCTTTCTATAACCGTTTCATAATTTTCGACGGCAGTTGCAGGGAAGCTGTTCACAATATCACGTGGTCTTGTACCGGGTACAGTCGATTGAATAAGATAATACATTTTGTCCTTGTTTTGAATTTCTTTATTTTCATGTATTCGCCAAAATTGTACTTAAAATGATAACCAGTCTTTAATTTCGCCATCGAATTTTTTTAACTCTATTTTAGGTAATTTCAGCTTCCATTTATTCAAATTTGGTGACACACTGCCAATGAGTTCTGTCATTTGGTGACTGAAAAATAATTCTGTTTCTATTAATATTAAATCTAATTTTTCTTTGTATTCTTTAACTTTTGTTCATTCACTTTCAAATTGATCATTTGAAGAAAATTCTGACTTTAATATTTGAGTATCAAATAACTATAAATATTTAATATTTGAGTATCAAATAACAAATAATTTGAGTACTAAGTTCAACAGATAAACATTCTAAAGTAACAAGTTTTGTTTTCACAGAATTTTCATCAGAAATTTCCTTTTCTAATTCCTGAAAAATTGCATTTATTGTTTTCATAAAAGAAGCTCAGACAGGTTTTCATTTCTCAATTAATTCAATATAAGTAAGTTCAGTAAACTGAAATAAAATAAATTCGATAAATACCGATCACATTCGTTGTTAGCAATTGTTTAATATTTGTAAGAACTAATCATTCTCCTTTCTACTAATAAACTTAAAATAAAATAGTTTTACATCTAATATTCTAAAGCATCATGTTTATTTTCAAAATTCATAGAACAGCAACAAACTACAACAAAGATCAGACGGTTGCCACTCTTACAATGACAAATTATGAAAGAAAGATAACATCTGAGCCTTGGTTCTAACAAAAACATCCTACTTAATATGCATGTCCTCTTTGGACTGTGCAGTGGTTTGATACAGGACAGGTTTAGCAAAATTGAATTCTGTGTGTATCAATATGTGCATTGCATCAAGCTGCTAATTCTGGTCACAACTTAATTTATATGTATTTATATGTATGCAATGCCCTTGCATACATGTTTATTTGATATTATGATAAATGACATCTTCTGTCGCTCTGGTTCCTCTCCCTTGGGATAATATCTAATCTTGCATCCCAGGTTGCATACAGTGCAGGTTGGATGGATGCACATAGTTTCATACATGATAAATTTCTTAGAAAAGATATGCAAATATGATTCATCTGTTCTATTGTGTAGGAATTTCTGAATGTTAGCTGGCGCAAATTCTATTTTGCTGTTAAATTTTTAAATCACTCTTTTTTAACAGAAAGCAAATAATAAACATTCCTTATTTAGTCAAAGCTGTGGATGCCAGATTTTTACTTACGCTCAGAAACTTTTTTTCGGAAAAATTATTAAAAAAATTGAGAACTTTAAAAAAAAAAAAAAAAAAAAACTGATTTTAAATCTGTTATTAAAATTCTGGCTTTGATTGTTTAAAAAGAATTTTACCATGCCTTGTAATTTTTATTTTTTTATTTTTTCTATATATGGTCAGAAAAGTATTTAAAGATTTCCGGTCTTTAAGTAGTTAAAACTCAAGGTTAAAGAATAAATTTTTAAAAATTTTATCTTTGGAAAAATATGACAGATTAATGAAGAAGTGATTCGTACCTTATACAATACAAAGTCTTTAAACTGGATGTCCACAATCCGGAATGATCTATAATCTAAACTTCAAAGCTACAAACTTTCTGCGCATGCATAGCGTTTACGCATGTGCATAATATTTTTATGCATGTGCATTTAATGTATAATGGACAGTATAAGCTAGGCTAAAATTATCTAATTATCTCTTTCAGTTAATGTTGCAGATTGCGTTGTTCCTTAATCTTCTAATTGGATCCAGCTTATTATTTTTTTTGCAGACTGTTAGAGCAATTTTATAAAAAGTAAGCTTGAACTTTCGATTATGTCAAAAAGAGTTTTCGATTCTGGAGCTGCCAAAGGATCTACAAAGTGAAAGCATGTTTTGATATCTATCAAACAAAAAAGTGGAATTGCTGCAAAAAATGGATAAAGGCATGAAGAAAGTGACAGAGAGGATACTGAAAACGAAAAATTTTGATTGACAATTTAGTGGGTATTATCGTCACAGCAATTAAAGGACTTGAACAGTGGAACTTTGTAACTGAACAAGAAATTATGTCTGTTTATAGAATTAAAGAGAAAGTATTAGTACATAAAACAAAGCAAACAACTTACATTGAAAGAAATGTTTAACTGTTTGACTGCTATGTGGCGCAAACGTGCTGCGTTCATTTGTCTTGAAAACCGCAATGAGGTGCTTTTGCGCTGCAGGTTTCAGTGTGTCTTTGATGCTCATACATACGTAGTCTGACCTCACGCGTACTTTGTAACACTAGTGCATTCTAAAATAACTAACTGCATCGCAGTTTTCGAGACAAATGAATGCAGCACTTTTGCGCCGCGTAGCAGTGAAACGATTAATAAAGTAAACAAATAAATATTAAGCTTTTTTTTTTTTTTTTTTTTTTTTTTTTGTAAATTTTGATACCCTTTAGATCATAATTGCTCTTTATTTCATAAATTATGGTTTCATATTTTTAATTTTCTAATTTCTGCATGCCATCTTACCAGATTTAAATTGATGATCTATAATCCAGAATCCCCGAAGTCTCGACGGGTCCGGATTAAAGACTTTGTACTGTAGTACTATTTTAGACCAAATAAATTATGGTCCTTCATTTCTATAGGTATTGCAATGAGATGGAAAAGCTTTTGTATGCAATATAGCCATACATGTATCAGCTTGCATTCAAGGAGAAAGTTATTAAAAGTTTAAAATAATAAAGCATAAATATTGTCTTTTAACATAAATTTTTAAGCAATAAATTAGGGATTTGGATTAAAAAATGGCATTTTAAGGAGAGAAGTATTGTCTTAAACTGTGTGTATATTTTTTCTGAAATCAGTTTCTGAACTTAAACAAATGCTAGAAAAAGAAATTATAATTAATTTGAATTAGTTCTTAAAAAGCAAAACATAATAAAATATCTCGTAACCAACAATATCAAAATACAGCACTTTAAAGGTCTAAATTTAAATCTGAAATTTAAATATGTGAGGTTTAAAAAAATATATCAGACTAACAATCTGAAAATTAAGTATGGAAAACATTAGTGATATGCTTTTGCTGTCCATTGTAATAGGCCAAAAGTCCAACCAATAAACCAAGAAATCATTTAGAATATAAAGATGAGCAACCAGTCCTTTTTATGCTTCAATGTCTGGACTCTGAAAGTAGTGTCTTTGAATTTCAGAAACAATTCACACTGAAAGATGCCAAATTTATTTTTCCCCTTTCTAGGAAAGATTTAAAGAAAACTACTTAATGTTTTTGTTGGCATAAATTGTGGCCTGTGATCATGTTCACAGATGATGAGTTGAGGGACAAAGATTCTTTTGGTTTTTAAAATTTGTTTGACTCTTGAAGCCTATATTGTGGATGTAGTTTTTTGTTCAGAGAAGGTTAGTATTTGTGAAGAGGTGTAGTTTTGTGTGGGTGTAGGCAATTCTGTCAAACTGTCTCAAAACAAGACAAAATAATCAGACATGTACTGGGAAAGGAGAAGGAGGAGGAGAAGGGGAAGGACAAATATGAAGATGACGTGCAGAGCAAGAAAGTTATATGAGAGGAAGTTGATGAAAATTATGTACTTTTATAAGATCTGTGGAGAAATGGTAATATGTGTCAGTATATGATATCAGAATTTTGTGTATCAAAACATCATGTACTGACATAGGTTTTATAAATTTGAATTTTTAAAACTGTGGTCACAATCATGGAAGTAAGCCCACATTTAAAGTTATATACCATCACCATAAGAAACTTATAACTTGCCTGGTATACTAAATGTATTCCATTTAAAATGTTTAATTTTGTTTTTCTAATATAAATTCATGTGTATGTGTTCTAATTTTAAATAAGCTTTTTTAAATAAGCTGAATTTTTTTAATTATTTATTTCATGGTGGCCGATAAATCAAAAAACACTGCCAGTGGATTTTGCACCTTACAATTTCTACAGATTATGTCAGAAAAATGAAAAAATAAGTTCTAAAAATGTATATTATCAGTTATTAGAAGTATATATTCAGTTATATAGTTGCTTATCCAGAATGGGCAAGGTCCCTGTTGCTGTCACTTTAAATAGATTTTACTATTACCCTTCAAAAGACAAATGTATCTAGAAGTGGATAAACAAGTTTAAAATAGATAATTTGTGCTGTTTAAAATTTAAAATGAATAAATTGAACTTAATATGTCATTTACTAATATTTAATACAGCCTTAATTTTTTCTCAAAGCTGAAATAATCTTATCTTACAGTGTTATTGAAGGTCTTGGAGGTAAACAGCAAGTTATGCATTTGCTTTCTCACGAAGACCCTAATGTTCGATACCAAGCATTACTGTGTGTCCAAAAGCTTATGGTCCACAACTGGTTTGTATTGATAGTTAACTAAATATTTGATGTTTAATTGAAGTTAATAAGGAAATGCTTTCGTTTTATAAGCAATTAATTAAGTTAATGCTCTTAATGTATTGTTTTTGCAGTTTTCCCCCCTTTATTCCCCAGATTAAAAGAAATGTGCATCTTTTTCTGGTGATTTATTTCTGGGCATATATTTCTTGAATGGCTTAGTAACTTGCTTGCCCCATCAATGCTTTGCTTTGTCATCACATATATTAATGCAAGAGTTTATTACTGTAGCTAAAAAACTGAAATGCTGTATGATATTTCAGTTGAGTTTTAGTTCCTGTTTTGCATATAAAATCTTATATTATTTTGCAATAGATTATTAACCAAATGTTTAAAATTAATTCAATTTTATTTAGAGTTCTTTCTTTAAATCAGTTACTGTATGAAATAATTATGATAATCTTATGTTGAATTTTAAAATGTGTGTTTGAAGTATAGTGTTTTATAAAAATCATATATATGTTATTGAAAACTAATTTATTTATTAAGTGTCAATTAATTTGTAAAATGAAACTAAAAGTTTTACGTATATTATATACAGTCATACATAAATATATCAAATACATTCATAAATATATACAAATACATTCATACGTAAATATATCATACATTATACAGTTAAAAGTCTTTAATCCAGACTCGTTGGGACTTCGGCGATTCCGGATTATCGATTTTTCCGGATTATAGGTCATCAGTTTAAATCTGGTAAGATGGCATGCAGAAATTCTAAAATTAAAAAATATGAAACCGTAATTTATAGAAATAAAGAAGCAATTATGATCTAAATGGTATCAAAATTTACCAAAAAAAAAAAAAAAGCTTAATATTTATTTGTTTACTTTATTAAACATTTCTTTCAATGCACGCGCATGCGTAAACATACATTATGCATAGTCGAAATTAGAAAATTGCAACCAGAAAACTATTTGATGTGTATTCGTGATATTTATAATGACGAGGAATTTGATTTAAATCATATCAAAGACAGAGTACATCGAGATGAAATACTACATTTAGTAAAAATTATAAGCCGAATAAAATAAAAAACATCTGCCCTGAAGATAAGAATAGTGCTGACAGATCAACTTCCAGTTCATTGCGCGCCGCGACGTTCCCCCCCCCCCGCACAGAGAAGTGTGAAATTGATAAAACAGATTTTGGAATGGTTAGAGAAACAAAGGATATACCTTTATCCATTTTTTTTGCAGCAATTCCGTTTTTTGTTTGATGGACATCGAAACATGCTTTCACTTTGTAGATCCTTTGGCAGTATCCAGCATCGGAAATTCTATTTGACATAATCGAAAGTTCAAGCTTACTTTTATAAAATTGCTCTTACAGTCTGCAAAAAATAATAAGCCGGATCCAATTCGAAGATTAAGGAACAACGCAATCTGCAACATTAACTGAAAGAGATAATTAGATAATTTTAGCCTAGCTTATACTGTCCATTATACATTAAATGCACATGCATAAAAATATTATGCACATGCGTAAACGCTATGCATGCGCAGAAAGTTTGTAGCTTTGAAGTCTAGATTCAAATCAACATTAACTGAAATAGATAATTAGATAATTTTAGCTTATACCGTATGTTATACATTAAACGCGCACGCGAAAACGTATTCTGTGCTTGCGCAGACGCATATGCGCAGTCGTAAATGTCTTGCGTGCACGCGTAAAGCGCCTATGAGGATGCATCAACGCGGCACATGCGCAGAAAGATTTTAGCTTTGAGGTCCGGATTATAGATCATTTCGGATTATGGGTGTCCGAATTAACGACTTTTGACTGTATATATATAATATCATATATAAATATATTATACATTCAAATTGCATGACTTCCTTTATTAATTTAGGCATCAAATATTAGTTATTTGCTTTGGTATTCACTCACCATTTGCTTACATGCGTATCATGAATGAATTCTTAATTTTGATAAATATATTGAATCTGTAAAACAAAATTAAAATGTATCATTTTTAAAATTTTAAGTTCATATAAAAATAGAATTAAAATCAAGGAATTGCTGAAATTTTTCACTGAGGATAGGTATGCACATTATTTTCATGTAAAGTTTTTTTTTATTGAATATTGGTAAGAGGTAATTAACTCTTGCATCATCCTTAAAAATACCTTTGTTGTTTTGGCTCTGCTTTTAAAAGCTTGAGAAAAATTCTTGTGTTATATGTTTATTATATATATATATATATATATATATATATATTTTTTTTTTTTTTTTGTGCTCTGTTTGTCTGTTGCTTCTTGCATGTTTACAGCTAAAATTTGTTTTATTTGTATGCCTATATTTCTTACTCATAGGGGTAATGCCTTCTTAAAGTGTAGTGGATTTATCCTAAAAACTCCCAAAAGATCTTCAAATTCCTGTGTAAAGAATAGTTTTTTTTAAATGCTGATTATTCTTCCAAAATATAGTAAACTTTGTATGAAAATGCAGATCATTCAAATCAGGTATAGTATCATTTTGTAAGTTATTAATTGTGAAAATATTATTTAAGTGGTGCATCTTTTGGACTTACTGAACACAGAATATTTTAAATAACAAGTTAATGTATATTAAGTGATAGAAAATTTTAATTCTGAATAAAAGGATTACATCTCTCAGATAGCTAACATTATTAAAAGTTAAATATAATTTTTTTAAATTTTATAATTTCAATTTTAATTGAAGTATAGCATATAAGAAATCTAAAATTTATGTTTGAAAGATTCAGCATAGATATAAAAGGAATATGTAAATACTGAAGAGAATAGTTTCTAAAAGACAGAAAAAAGGCTACCTGCTAATTTGATAGTTTAAGAGAGACAAAAAGTATGCTAAACCAATAGTTGTCATTTAGGGTCACATGCAATGTTGCACTAAATCCAATTTTTTTTTTTTTTTTTTTTTTTTTTTTGTAAGTAGAAAACAAATAGACAGAAATTACAAGAACATCTGTAAACTTCCTTCTGAAATTTCAGTTGTATATTTTTTATTAATGTGCTGAAAAAATATTTTTTTCTTCTGCCAGGCCTAGGCAGAATGGTACAAACCAGATATACAAGCCATGCTTTTGACAAAGTATAATGCCTTGTACATTTTTTATTTTTGGTTATGCAACGCGAGGTTTGAGCGTTGAAGACTGCTAAATGTTGATCGTTTAAACTTACATAAACAGACTTGCTGCATGGGCTTTTTTTATGTGTAATGTAAATATGAGCCAACTTGCTTTAGAAAGTCCTCCACAAAGCCATCCCTTCTCTTAGAGAGAGAACCCTTATGTACTTTGCCTTAATGTATAACCATCATGTGTAATTTTCTGCCAATTTTAGAGAATTCATGAATTATGAAAAATTCTTCTCTTAAGTTAGACTTACCAAAAAAAAAAAAAAAAGTATTTAAAAAAAAGTATAATAATAACATTATTATTCTGATACAAGGACTCAATTCTGTTATGTACTTCATTGAGCTCTTGATTAACTGGGAGTGGATTGATTGAGTTGCAAATTAGCCTGATCTTATTTAAATTGTTTAGTGTGGAACAATGGGAAACATTACATCAGAAATCATTAGTGCAAAACAAAAAGTGTCTCTAAACTCCATAGTATAAGATAAGTGATTATAGATGATGTCTGCTGGATGAACTCTGCCAAAAAAAAAAAAAAAAAAAAAAAAAAAGTGTTCTGACTTTTTCATGTGAGCTTGAACTCATTGACATTGTTCAATCGTTTGTGTATATTGTTCTTAAATGCAATTTATAACTTCATTCTTCATTTTTATGATTTTTTGTTCCTTATTTACAGTTTAATGTATTTGTTACCTTTGTTTTGAATACAGATTTAATTTGCACAACAAATTTGTTCTTCAGATTAAACTGCTTGAAAATTAACATTTTTCTATTAATTATAATATGATTTCTGTCTTGCATTAGCCTTTGTCATTCTTATTAAATTAAGCAGAAAGGCATATTAAAATGCAACTTGCATGGGATATCTTTGTTTATATCATTCTATGATTTCTTGTCCCGTATACTGCCCATTCTGTTAAAAAGCTGCTATTATCACAGGGACTGGAAGCATGATTCTTTTTTTATCTGGAGCTTAATACTGTCAATTGATAGTGGATGTTCTTTAACTCTGCATCATTTTGACACTTTCATATACAGTATGGTTGTTAATAGGGCATGCTATTATCGACATTGAATACCAGGTAAGACTTGTACACCTATGACTGCACGATGTCTTTGCAGAAGGAATGGGAATCTTTAAAATTTGTCATTCTAAAAGTACTTTTAAGGAGTAAGCAGAGAAAGAGGAATATGGGATGCTTCTGTTCCATTATTAATGTATTCTTGATTGAAACTGTGGAAATAGATAAAATTGCTCTGTCTCCAAAGGTAGGCAAGGCTTTTGGCATGTTGAGAGGTGTAATCCTGGTCCCCATTTATTCATTCTGTTATCTATGTGCCTGAATATGGAGATAAATAACACTAATACTTCTTATGGCTTATACTGTGTTATTAAACAGTAAAAGAAATCTATATCAATTTGATATCTTTGATCACGTATATAAATATTCAGTTAGGTAACTTGTATAGATTATGCAAAATTTAAAATTAATGTTTATTCAGATAAGTTAAATTTAACTCTATCTTAATTAAGATGTGCTAATATTAATTATTTTCTATTTACTCTAAAATGTGTTTTATATAATTTCTGAATATAATTTTTATTTTCTTATTTTTAGGGAGTATCTTGGACGACAACTTGAGAAAGAAACCAGCCAGGCAATACCTACTAAAGGTTAAGAAAAAAAAAAAAAAAATTATTTCGCAAATAAATCTCTTAAATTCATTAATGGTAATTTGAATGTAGTCAAGATTCTGAATTAATATGTTTGCATTATTATATGTGGATTAATACCTAGTGTGGCCAATGAAAACCTAGTTTAAAAGTATACATTCCAGAATGGATTAATGGACTTTCGTGGGAGTTATGTAAGGAAATACAGATGCCATGCTTTTGCACTTGTAATTATGTAGATAGCTTGATTTGTAATTTATTTCAAAATATCTCTTTAAAAAGCACAGTTATTTAATGTTACCAAAGATTTTGCTTCAGAAGTGATATATGTGCAAGTGATGAGTGTCTAGTTGTTTCTAAATAAAATTTATGAATGTCTCAATATTTTACTATTATTTAGTTATATATTTAATATCAACAAAATTGATATTGTAATGTTAGTATCTGTTAGAAAACTGACTTAAAATATATAAGCAAACAAGAGATTCTTCAAGTTAAATTAAATTTTTTAAATATTGGAATCATTCTGTTTTATTGCATACATGTATATGCTATTAATGTCATTAAGCATATAGTATTGAAAACTGTTAATAGTTAAATATTTGTATTTCATCAACAGAAGTTTGTGCATTAGGTTTTCTTTCCATTTGTTGATTCTTTATACTCAAGAAACTTTAATAAAAGAAAATTATATTTTTATTTTTCCACATTTCTTTCTTATTCATAAAACAAATAATTAAATGAAGTAGTGTATTAACTACTTAGCATTCATAAACATTTGGGCTGTTGTAGCTAAGAGATTTGCTCATGCTTGAGTACGGCTCATATAGCTATAAAATTTGCGTTTCTAACGTATACTTCAATTTGTGCTGCTTAAGTTTTCATAAACTTGTTAGCTTGCTGAACTTAATTTAGAATTTATTTTATCTTGAAACCTGAACTTTTTCATTACAAAAATCAAACTTACACTTGATTTGAAGTAAAAAGAAATTCAATTTTTTTTTGTGCGTGTCTGAAATGAAAAATATATTTCTGGAACAAGCAATCTAAATATAAAGAGACAATCAAATTTGATCAAAAACAAAATAACAGGAACTTAAGCATTTTGCCATTCATGTGTAGCCTAGACTTTTGCACTTCTTACAAAGCGATTCCTGTGGTACAAATGACCTTGGATATTAAGACCATTACATGTTACAACTTACAGTGCTGTGGGAGCTAAATTTTCTTGGTCATATATGACTATAAAAGAAATGAGTTAGCGGAAAGTGGCTGTGAAATATTGGAATAACAATGTAGAATGATATTGGTGGACTGAATGGTATTTTTACCTGTATTCGTTACATATACTCATATCTGTAAAATGTTATATACCCAGCTTTTGTCATTCCCTTTACAGAACTCCATGTTTCCTAATTCTTAATTTGCCTGTATATAGATGACTTTCAAATATAGTGCAAGAAAAATTATTAAATTTTAAAATGCGAAAAGAAAATTTTGATGAAATTTTTTAAAAATTAAGGGAATAACATTATGTATTAGTGAATCTTAAATTGTAAAAATATGATTTTTTTCAAATGATTTTCAAAATAATTTTTGTAATTAATTTTTCATTTCTTCTGTGCGTTGTAACTTATTAGAGAGATTTTTTAGAAGTTTTCATTTTCTATTCAGGAATTCACCAGAATAAAAATTTAAAAAGTGCAGAATCAAATGAAATTATCATATTATTGGATTGACAAGAAACTAATTTTGATTTTTTCGTGTGAAACGAAAACTCAGTTTTTTTTTCAATACCAAAAAGTTAGTTTTAATCTGTTCAGTATCTTCCATTCTGTTTTATGTCTTTTTGCCATCTTTCTGGTAATTTCATGATTCTGCACTTGCAGAACTTCTGGTCTTTATCAGCAGAAAACTCAACCAAGTGTGATTTGAGTTCATCATGATTATTCAAATTTTGAGTACTTAAGAAGTTTTGTAAACTTTAAAATAAATAATAATCCACTAGTACAAGGTCGCAGCTGTATAGGAAAAATGGCATCACTTCCCAACCAAGCTCCAATAATTCCGTACGTGTTACTAAATATGTATGAGGGGTCGCAGTGGAACATGATTGCCTTGTGATTTGCAGATTCTGGCCTTTTCTCTTGCTCCCTCAAATTTCATAAGTTGTTAGCAGTAAACATCTGAGATTATCTCTATTGGATGCAGTTTAACTTTCAATATGATGCATGCTGATTCATTGTGCTTGGACCATGATCTTTCTTGAAAGTTACCGTAGATGATTCATTTTTTATCACCAGTGATAATTGGTTTCGAAAGCGAGTCGACTACATTGTGTTTGAAATGCATATCTCAAATATTGATTCATTGTGTTAAACGAATTTCTTTCAGTTAATACAGAACCAGAATGTCAAGCTTCTTAACGAGTCTAAGACATCTCATGTAATATTCAGTTGTTGTGTGTGATACATTTAACTATTTTGCATTATATGACGATTCAGTTCGGTTTTGCCTTAATTGTTCATCATTGACTTCAGAAGCTTGGCCGGAACGTTAATTATTATCCAGAATGAAATTTTTTAAAGCAATTCTGACATATGGATTCTATTAAGTAATCAACATCATAAACTTCACATATTTTCTTGTGAGCCTCAACCATTTTCTTGGTTTTATGAAAATAAAAAATAAAATATGTCAGAAATGTTTATTTTTGTACTCATGTTAAAATTGACCATAAACAAACTGTTGTAAGTGAAAATGGACAGAATTTGTTTCCATATCAGTATATATAAGTATCAGCTGCCAAAAGGAAGCAAAAATTATAAGACTGACAGAATAATAACAAAATCAACAAAATGCTATATTTTTGGGCAAACCGATATTATTTTCTTGCCCATGCAAGAAGTTTACGCATTATAAAGTGACGCATTATAAAAAATATTAAAGTTATCCTTATGAACATTGCCAAAAAAAACTGTAAAATCATTTACTTCCTCTTAAAGTCATTTTTACACATGAAATTCTTTCTGAAGTCACAGCAAAAACATCCTTCTGCTTTCTCTTATTTCAGAGTTGGTAAATATGCTTTTATATTTATTTTTGGGCTATAGTTTAAGAATTTATGCACATTTTTAACCCTCAAAAGTTTAAAAACTGTGTTGTAACAACTTCTTACTTATAAAATGGGAAGTGAGACTTATAGTTATGGGGAAATGTAAAGAATTTCTATTTTTTTTTTTTTTTTTTTTTTTTTTGGTTGCTATAGTTTGAAGTAATATTATTTGGCATATTATAATACTTTGTTATTCTATCATCTAGTTTAAAGAAACATCATTTATATGAGTTCTTGAGGCAGAGTTGATATTGATTTCCACTTACTGATATTTCATAGTTATACTATTTAAATTTGTTGTGTAATTAAGGAAGTGGGTGAACTGTAGCTATTGTAAACATTCATGGGTGCCAAACAATAATAATAATATGCAAATTAAAAATATATATAAATCATAAGAGAAATTAATTCAGTTTTGAGATTAATAATGATAAAGATGAGTAAAATTTAATTTATATGATATAAATGTGAGCAGTATTTTTAATAAATCTTCTGCTTTGCACTTTGATCGTAGTAGCAGTTCCAATAGTGATATAGTAGTGACTAATGTCTTTCAGTGTATCAATGAAGACACTATTAGTTTCAATGAAAATGATCTTAAAAATAATAATTAGGATGATTTCATCGGTAAATGACACAGATATGCCTAATAAATATTTTAAATATTTCGTAAAATACCAGGATGTAGTTCATCTAAACAGTAATAAAACCAGTACAATTTTACAAATTACATATTTTTTCTAACAATTTAATTAGTAATATAATAAATGATATAATTGATAACATCTTTTATAAGTATTGTTTTCATATTAAATACAGTCAAAGGGCTTTAATCCGGAATGATCTATAATCCGGACCTCAAAGCTACAAACTTTCTGCGCATGCGTCAATGCATGCGCATAATACGTTTACGCATACGCGTTTAATGTATAACGGATGGTATAAGCTAAGCTAAAATTATCTATTTCAGTTAATGTTGCAGATTGCGTTGTTCCTTAATCTTCGAATTGGATCTGGCTTATTAATTTTTGCAGACTGTTAGAGCAATTTTATAAAAGTAAGCTTGAACTTTCGATTATGTCAAAAAGAATTTCCGATTCTGGAGCTACCAAAGCATCTACAAAACGAAAACATGTTTCGATGTATCAAACAAAAAGTGGAATTGCTGCAAAAAATTGATAAAGGTGATCCTTTGATTCTCTAATCATTCCGAAATATGTTTATCAATTTCACGCTGCTCTGCAGTGGGGGGGGGAAGACGGGCGCAGTCAGCACTATTCTTATTTTCAGGGCACTTGTTTTTATTTTATTTGGCTTATAATTCCTTACTAAATGTAGTATTTAATCTCGATGTAATCCGTCTTTGATATGATTTAAATCAAATTCCTTGTCATTATAAATATCATGAATACACATCAAATAGTTTTCTGGTTGCAATTTTCTAATTTCGACTATACGTAATGTATGCTTTACGCATGTGCTCTTTGAAAGAAATGTTTAATAAAGTAAACAAATAAATATTAAGCTTTTTTTTTTGTAAATTTTGATACCCTTTAGATCATAATTGCTCTATAATTCATAAATTACAGTTTCATATTTTTAATTTTATAATTTCTGCATGCCATCTTACCAGATTTAACTGATGATGTATAATCTGGAAAAACCGATAATCCGGAATCGCCTAAGTCCTGACGAGTCCGGATTAAAGATGTTTTGTAAATAGGCATATACATTCTTTGTCTCTAAAACTCAATTCAAAGTTTCTAGGTAGAAACTGTATTGCACCAGATGGCGCTGTGTGCGCTTGAATTCTTCGGACTAGTGCAGAACCTTAATGATTGTGAAAGATGTAACACCATCGCGAAACATTAACCAAAGTTTATATGTGCTTCTCTTTGTTGTAAATGTATTTAAATGTGTTGTCAATAAAATATAGAGAAAATGATAAAAGTGGTGAATGCGTCTGACAGGTAAGTGAGATTTCTTTATATATTGAATTGAATTGAGTTTTAGCGACAAAGAATGTATATGCGTATTTACAAATCTTTATGCCCTCAAAACATCACTTTGTGAATTTATTAGTGTGGGATGCACACAGCAAAGTGTTTCACGGTGAAATTTCTGAAACTTTGATAGAAATACGCAAAAGATAATGGATAATTAAAGGAAGACAAACTGTTAAAAATATCTTAAAAAAATGTATTCTGTGTAAACGATTTAATTCTTCTCCTGGTGTGCAAGTTACTTTTCCTTTACCAGTAAATAGAACAGAAGAATTACCTCCTTCTTCTGTAGTAGGTATAGATTTTTGTGGATCACTTTATACCAAAGACAGTGATGAGAAGAACTACATCATGTTGTTTACTTGTGGAGTAACGCAAGCTCTTCATTTAGAGTTTGTTGGTAGCATGACCACAGAAACATTTCTTCTTGCTTTTCGACGATTCATTGCTCGTCGAGGTCTATGTTCTCAAGTTTTGAAAAAGATTTGCAAATACACATATACATGCTTTGTTGCTAAAACTCAATTCAAATCAAAATATAAAGAAATCTCACTTACCTGTCAGACGCATTCTCGCCTTTTATCATTTTCTAAATATTTTATTGACGACACAATTAAATACATTTACAACAAAGAGAAACACATATAAACTTTGGTTAATGTTTCGCGTTGGTGTTACATCTTTCGCAATCATCAAGGTTCTGCACTTGTCCGAAGAATTCAAGCACACACAGCGCCATCTGGTGCAATACAGTTTCTACGACTATAATGGATGATTTCTCTGTACTTAGCCAATATGTAATAGCCAATTTTTCTTTGTCTTTTTTTATGTGACTATTAAGTATTCAATACTTCTTGTAGGTTTTGTTATTTAACATGTAAAATTCCTGTTACAAGTATATTCCTGTTATTTGGTGTAAAGAATCAGTTAATTATATTCATTTTGAAATCTACAAAAACTTTCCCTTAAACCAGGGCTGTCCAACTGGCGGCCTGCGGGCCGTATATGGCCCGCTAAATTATTTTTACGGCCTGCGAGTACATTTTACTATGAATAAATTTATGCTACTAAATTATTATTATTAATATTAAAATTATTTTACTATGTGAAAATTTAAATCTAATTTGAATTTAAAGTAGGTACTATTTAGTTTGCATAACTTCACTTAACCTGGCTGAATACAGCAGCAATTCGTTTAACGTCTGATGATGGTTGGCTCAATGTTGGTGCCACATATTATATTTGTGGTTGGTTGTTGTTTATCTACGGTTGGCGCACGTGATGCGCACACTAACCTGAGCTATTGGTTGATTCATGCAATTGTGCGAGTGAAGTCCTGTCTAGAATTTGTTGAGGAGTGACTGTGTTATAATATTATTAACTTAATTTCATATTTATTTATTAATTAAAATAATTATTGAATATGAGTTCTACTAATAAAAGAAAAATAGACCTCAAAAATCGAGAATTTCAAGATTGCTGGGAGATAGATTGTTTATTTATTCTGATCAAGAATGATAAACCACAGTGTTTGGAATGTTTACAAATCATAACTGTGTGTAAAGAATATAACTTGAAGCACCATTATCTTTCCATGCATGAAAAAAGTATCATTTGTACATGCAAGACATGAAAATATTAGTGAAAAAAATGAAAAAGCTCCTGGATCATTTGTTTAGAAATAGTAAAGGCAAAGAAGCCATTTTTGGATGGAGAATTCATTAAAAAATGTGCCATATAAGTGGCTCAAGCATTTAATGACAACGAAATGGTAGGAAAATTTCAAATAGTATAACTTTCTCACCAGACTGTAAGCCGACGTGTAAACGAGATTAGCATGCATGTCACTAATAAATTAGAAAACCTAATCAGTAGTTGCTGCTATTTTTCGGTAGCATTAGATGAAAGCACAGACATTTCCGATAAAAGTCAAATGCTTATCTTTATAAGAACTGTAAATGAAAACTATAATTATTCAGAAGAACTTTTTAAATTTTAATCATGACATGGAACAACAAAAGGTGAAGATATTTACAAACAATTAAAATGTTCAGTAGAGCAGTATGGTAGATTTGACAAGTGCACTGCTATTGTAAACGATGGTGCTAGAGCTATGACAAGCAAAAATATTGGGCTTGCGGGACTTTTGCAGACTAAACATGTTTTGCGGACTAAACATGTCGTATGTTACACTATATTATCCATCAGGAGGCATTATGTGGTTTATCCCTACAACTAAAAAACGTAATGGACAAGGTTTGCAAAATTACTAATTTAATTCGCAGCGGAAATCGTTCTCTTACACCCCGAAAATTTAAAACATTTTTGTATGAATTGGAAACTGAGTATGAAGATCTGCTTTTACATAGTAACATTCGTTGTTTAAGTGCTGGAAAGTGCTTGAGGAGATTCTTTACACTTCGAAAATAAGTTCATCTTTTTTTCACAGAAACTGCCGCCGATGAAAATTTAACAGCAAATTTAGTTGATAAAAATTTTATTCATTCACTCGCTTTCCTAATGGACATCACAAATTGTTTAAATATTTTGAATAAATCCTTGCAAGGACAAGATCAAAATGTGTGTCGCCTTTTTATAAATATGCTACTGGATTTAGAAACAAATTAAAATTGTTAAGGTTTAATTTGGAGCAAAATAATTTATTTCATTTTGAATCTTGCAAAGAAATCTCTGAAGAAATGAAGGAATGTAAAATAGAAGCAGATTTAAAAATATTTCTACCAAAATTGGATATGCTAATTACAGATTTCAATGAAAGTTTTTCTCAATTTGATGATCTTAAACTGTTTATTGATTTATTTTGTGATCCAATTAATATTGATATCAACTCTGTTGATCTTGAATATCAAATAGAATTATGCAACCTGCAAGCTGACCCATTTTTTACGTCTCATGGAGTAACTGGAATAGAAATATCCAAATTTTTAGATACCGAGAAATATCCAAAATTGAGAGATTTCTGACTTCAAATTGTATCAATGTTCGGAAGTACATATATCTGCGAGCGTGCATACTCCAATATGAAATATATAAAGTCAAAATATAGAAACAGTTTGAAAGATTCCACTCTTGAAGATATACACACTCTTGCCACAACAAATATTGATGTGGAAATAAAAGATATTGTTGCTAAACAATTACGGCCAGAATGTTCTCATTAATATATTATGAATATTTTAAAGTTTTCTTTTTAGTATAAATAAAATATTTTTTTAATTAACATAAACTGACTTTTTATTTATCAACATTCTTGGCCCACGGGCTATGATAAGTTGTACAGCGCTGCCTTAAACCATTAAATTTATAGCTTCATGACAGCTAGAATCTGAAAATGTCCTTCATTTTTTTTCCTTATAATGTGCAGTAGCATTGTTACATTAATCCTTTATTGTCTAATGACACTTAGTAGCCCATAGAATTGAATAATGATAAAATAATCTAATAAATCAATTGAGTTAAGAAAATACTTTTAATATATTGGGGGGAAAAACTATGTATCGAAGACATTAAAATAAATTTTGTACTCAAAGATCTTTTGTAAGTCTTAAGGCAGTGCTTTAATCTTTTGTAAATAAAACTTATAAGGTAGCGTGGTGTAGTGGTTCTGCACGCTGGGCTTGTATTCCAGAGGTCCGTGGTTCGATTCCCAGTGAAGGCATTTGTTCATTTTTCATCTTGCCTGCTTCCAAAAAATACCTAATGTCTGTACAAACTATTATTACTGCTTTTATATGATGTCTCTGGATTTTCAAAATGCAACAGGAAATCATACTGACATTTTAATGATTCTAATATATTTTTTCAATTTCTTCAAGTAATGGAAATTTTTTCTTGTTCTGCACATACTGCATTAAGATTTCGTCTGAAAAAAATTTAGGTGCTAATTTAAAAAGTGTCATTTTATACTTAATTAGCAACTTTGAATTTTCCGCAGTAATTGTTGTAAATGGCAAGGATGTTACTCTACGGATGCATAACTTTTCGAAATCAACTAAAGTTATGGATTTTTGTATAATAGTTTTATTTGTGATCACAAAGTTGAGGTTCTTGCTATTTAAAAAAAATTTAGTTATGAAATTCTTTAGGAGAATTCATATTTCTTTTCTTATTTCATTCATAACAGATTTAAAGTTTTCATACTGTACATCCATCAATCAGACAGTGGATGTTAGAATTTTACACACACTAAAATGCAGGTTATAAAGTATCATTTTAAAAACTGGTGCAGCAGTAAGGTCATCCAAGAATTGTAGAAATATATTAGTATAAAAGTGTGTGGGGCATGGCAAAATCAGGGGAAGATGTGTCTGCAGATATTTTTTAAAAAAGCTTGCCATTATATATAGCCAAATGGTGATGAAAACTGAGAATCTGAATGTGTTTGGATTGTGCAAGTAAGATGCAAAAATATTCGTTTAATGCAATTATAAGAAAAAATCCTAAATGAAAATATAACTGAAGTCTTAACATTGTGACGACTATGCCTCACTCATCATTCAATTAATGGAATGATAATATCTGTAAAATGTTTTTAAATCGAGAAAACAGTGTCATTTTGGCTTAGAAGATAATCTCTATTTATGAAAAATAACCTTTCATAAAGAAATATTAATAAAAATATTTTAAAGTTTATATTTTCTACATGTTATCTTTTAGATTTAAGCTGATGTTCTGAAGTGTAGAATCACTAAAATCGTCTCACCCTTTGTACTTAATTCTTATTTGTTGGATGGGAAGTGTTCACTGTTGTAACATTGTGAAGGACAACACAATCAAACCAGTTCTATTAAACAAAAGTACACTTTATTGCAGCACAATATTAGTCACAGCTTCTAGTTTGACTTGTTTTAGGAACCACTTAGATGAAGTATGTACAAATTGAAGATTCAAATTTTAATAATTAAAATGTAAATTTACAGCATTAATGACATTTCAGTGCATTTAGCATCTGTTTTTCGGATCAGTAGTGTTTATTTATAATTTCGATGATAAAATTTCCAGTAATAATATTTGTAGATCAACATAAAAAAAAAAAATTAAATAATGTTTGTTGTTACTAATCTGTACTAATTTTTAAACAAATAAGAGATCTGATGCATTAGTATAATCGAAATAAATTCTTCTTATTATTAATTAATGTTACTTATTGCTTTTCATTACGAAATATTTTAGTCTTTAGATCTTTTTTTTTTATATATATATGCACATTATCGGGTATTTTTAAAGAGACATTGGTAATATTTTGTTATTGGTAGTGCATTTCTTGAATTAAGAAGTGTCATTGGTATTATGTTTATCTAAATCGGGAAAAAATATAATATGTAAATCTGTGTTAAATTAGATTGTAAATAAGTTTAAAAAAAAAGAAAGATATTTATAGTTTATGAAATATTAGCTGTGACTAATACAACTAAAAATAATTAGAATGATCACAGCATTAGCTATTAAATCACGATGTTTCTTTAACAATGGAGCAAATTTTAGTCTCCTGTGCAGGCTTATTTGTCACATTGACCTGCAGATTGGTGATGATGAGAAACATAAGTGTTTCTGTCATTGCATTCAGATAAAAAATATGTATTTACAAGCCGTTTTTTTGTATTTGTTTTCTGTTAGTGGTTAACCACTTTGGCATCTTTATCTTAAATTTCCTTAAACAGGGTTCAGTTAAAATTAAAAGTTGGGTTTAAGGTATTGGTTGTTCTAAGACTTCATAATTATGTTCTTATTTTATCGTAACAGGCCCGTGGCACAAAAAGAGGAAATGTTCGAATTTTCCTCAGTAATTGCTAGTAAACAGCAAGGATGTTACTCTACGGATGCATAACTTTTCAGAAAAACTAAAGATCTGCAAAATTTGTAAAAAACAAGTGGATGACTGCAAAAGGAAATTTGAACCCTGAAAAAAAAAAAGTCTCAAATATAAAAAAAAATAATACAAAATGGTAATCAGTTCACTCATTTCTTAAAAGCAAAATAATCTCCTGTGGGATCCTCTATCCAGGGATAATTTTGAGGACATTCCATACATGTGTGAAGTCGAATGGTTTCTCCTGGAAGCTCTCTTGTTGTCAAAGGACAGGCATTTGGCAGGGAACAATACGCTTGACCTTTCACATCACACTTTTCTTTCCATGGTGCAAAATCCCTAATGGATGACAACTCTGAAGGGGATTGCATCCATTGGAGAACTTGAGTCATGGTAACAAAGTACACATCATTCTTTCCCAGAACTTCATCCATCCATTGAACAAGGGCATCCAAGTAATCTTGATTCAGCCTCAACCAACCAGCATGGAAATAAAGACCTGTTAAAGATACATAAATTATTCATATGTTTTTACAGAATCATAGCTGAAAGTCAAATTTAAACTTTCGTTAGGGATTGAGCTGAGTAGAAATGACCTATTTTCTGCATAGTGGTTTTAGTTGAAATCAGTACAAAGCAAAAATTAAGCATTGCAGGTTATTAATAAAAATTATATTTAATTATTTGATTAATTAATTCAGCCGACATACATAAGGACTCTCTAAGGGGAGAAATGTATTTGCAGAGAACTATCTATAGAATTGGGTCATACACATGATGAAAACCACAAGAAAAGTCATGCAGTAAGACAGTTTGCTAAAGTTTGAACCCACATAAAAATCGTATCACTCTCAATTACATTATTAAATGTGAATTGTGACTAAATTATAATTATTACTTAATTAAAACCAAGGGTAGCAAACAAAGTAATGTGGAGATGTAAAAGCAGGTAGGTGTACATATGCGTGTTTTCTTTGCATCACAAATCTGCTTTCATTCAAAATTAAAATTACAGAAATGTATAAATTTCTTTATGTAATTTTTAAATGAACATAAAATTTTTAAGAAAACAGCTGTATCTACATTTTAATTACTATAAGAAAGGCTTTTATAGTAATGAAATTTACTTAAATGAACTAGTTAATTATTTCATGCAAATTACATTTATTGTCTTTAATTTTAAGTAGCAAAATGAATTTCAGTTAAATTATGCAAATATATTTTATTACTTATTTAATTTATGCTTTATAGTAATAATGTAAATATTGCACACTTAATACATTAATATTCTTGAATTTAAAACAATGTTGAACAGTGGACGCAATTTTCAAAATGTATTGAAAATAAAACAGGATAATGTAAAGTTTTCCTGGGCCACGATGAAGTTGGATAACTTTTATTAGAAGTTTTCATTTTGTTGCCTTGTCAAAAATAAGTTATCCGTCTTTCTTCAAATCTGTGAGCTTGGTTTAATTTTATTAGCAACACAGAAACCAACTTGTTTTGTTTTAAACTCTAAAAAATTAGGCATTTGCATAGTGACTAAGAAAGTACTTAATAATACAAAAATCTATTAGAAACATTTCTGATCATTCTTTTTTCAAGAGACGCTATTCTGAGTGCCTGATGTTAAATGAATACAGTGATTTGAATCTTATTTTCCATTAATTGATTTCACATTTGAGTGAATAAAATGAATGAGTATTACCCAATGGTGCTCGGTTTGTCTTATAATGCCTGTCAAAATTGTGATTCAAGAAATTGTAGAATTGTTCGCCGGAGATGATATTGCTACAACTGTCCACCATAGCGCAACCAGCTAGCTCTTCATCGAAGTTGGGGTCATCCCTACGATCCAGTTCGTTCATTACCATTTCCCAAACAGCATGTGACCTGTAGTAACAAAAATTAACGTTAAACTCTTAACATTTGTAATTAATTTAGAGAATTAAAAAAATATTCTCAATACTGATATTTTAAGTAAAAAATGAATATTAACTTGTTAACTAGTAAAGCTAATTGCGTATTCTTTTAGCTAAGAGGAAAAAAAAAAATAATTTTGATCGGGCCTGTGAGAATTTCCCTTCTTTGTTCAGTATGCAAATTGCAAATGACTAAAAAAGGTTGTTTTGAAGTAATTAAATCATTCAAGATTGTAAATATTGTGTCCAAAATAAAGCTTTGAAACTAGAGTTTTATTATTTACACTAAAATCAGAGCATCTGTTAAAAGAATTGTTGCTCACCTAGTTGGGCAATTCTGTCCGTTTCCGTGACATTTGTGGGGCATCCTGAAATAAAGGGTGTATGGCCAAAGTGGTGGGTTGCTGAGAGGTGCGGTGAGGGTAGAATCGTAAAGGAAGGCTTGTTCTTCCATCATGGAAAACTGACTGTTGCCTCCGACTCTCAAATAAGGTGCCCTGACGCCAACAATGGAGTTGTCAGTAATGTTTCCAAAGCGTTCCAAAATAAGTCTAACACCAGCCATTTCTTTAGCCCAAGTGTCCAGACTGGCCTCTGTCCAATATTTTTCATTATTTCTGTGCCTATAAAGTATAAAAAAGATTAAATATATCATAAGTTTGACAATAAATTCTTGAAGAAAAATTTTATCACATCTAGGAGATGTGCTTTTCTTTATATTATATTTTGTTTAGTTTTCCATATAATAGAAAAGATTATAGTAATGTGTCTGACAACAGGGACAACATATCTTGATATTTTTATTTCATGTTTATATTCAGCGAATTATTAAAGTAAATAAATTTTCAGAACGTTTTACGGGACTTACTTCAGTATTCATGTGCATAATGTACTTTTATTGTGATTCATTCTATATTAGAAGATAGTTTCTATCTCCATGAAACAGGCTGTTAAATAATTAGATATTTTAATTATGCTTATTATTAAGAATTAAAATAATTCCCTTTCTTTTATTTAATGATGGAAAACAAAGTGCGCAAAATGAATTTTCCTAACATAACACTTATGAGCAAAAGAACTACTGTTAAAGAAGATTAGTAAACGTAATTGATTATCTGATTGCTGTTTTTAAACGCAAAAATATTCTAAATTTTCTTCACAAATAGCTTAAAATCGCAGTTAATATTTCCTTTCTATTTTTAATTATATTTTTTAAACATGTTTGAAAGAAATACATATATTTATTTCGCAGAGTAAGCTAAAAATTACTCTTAAGGCCAACAAATCAGACGCACAAAAAATCTGTGTAAGAAGGAAGAAGGCAGCTATGAAGCTTTTCTAAAGGCGACAATTCACCTCTAAGGGGGGAAAATTGAGTAGAAAAGGGTTTTAAGTCACTTTGAATAAATTTTCGAAAAATTCCTGCCTTCACGACAATATATAAACAATCATGAGAACAGCCATCTTGTTCTAACATGTACTCTAAGGCTTTTATTTTTTTCTATTGATGGAAAACATCCGGTTTCATTGACTTACTTACAAGTTTGCCATTCATAAATGATCTAATTATTGTTTTTTAAATATCATCTGAATATTATATGCTTTCTTTACATTATGATAAAATGACTATTTTCATTAAAAGAAGTGCTTAGCAGTTGCACAATGAACTAGATTACATCATGTTTTCTCCTTTATAGGAAGTTATTTAAATATTCTGCGCATTGCTTATGTATTTTTTATATTAGTATTTGATTTATTAGTTATACAAACCATAGTAATCTTTACGAGATTACTTGCATATTAAACTCAACAAGACAGTAATACACGTTTTGCAATAAAAGTACAGCTCCTAAAACAGTATTTCAAACGAGGAATTGAAAATAGTTTTGCTAACTTACGTGATAGAATGAGCTGCAATTTCATGTCCTTTGCGATGAAGTTCCTGGACAGCTGAGTAATTGGTGTATTTGTGGGAGACAAAGAAAGTTCCTTTAGCCGAACATCCATTGGGATTGTTCCTGCCTTCTTTGAAGATTCTTTCATAAACGATGATGTTGTTGTTGTTGACTGCATCGTCAAATGTGATGGTGATCATTTGGGGTACTGTATTGGGTTCTAATTTCCCAGGGATTTGTGTTCCATCAGGAGAGCAGTAACAGTCTGGGAGAACACACTGGGTCTGGTCGCAAGGTGGAGCTCTATTAGGATCCCTGTCCACGGCTGGTAAAGAAAATGTAGTTAATAAGAAACAAAAATACAATCTCTAGTCTAATTAGTTTATTCAAAAGCAACTGATTTCTTCACTTGTTTTATCCTTTGTAAACTCATCGTACTCTGAATGTAGTCAGAAGGAATAATCATAAATAATATGAAATAAGGAACTTAATGGGTTGGGTTATTCAATTATGGCAAAGCACACGAGGGCTATCTGCCTAAAGGGAGGGATGCCTTCGTGGAGGACTTTCTAAGGGAAACTGGCTCGTATACACGTTACACATGGGGAAAACCACGAAAACGCCCATGCAGCCAGCCCGTTCGTGGGATTCGAACCTCGGACCGAACTAACAGTGTTCAGCGTCTTTACCGCTCGGCCGCAGGCTAAGGAGCTTAATGAAACGAATAATAATGAAATATTTGAATTCAGTTGAACTGCGCTACAAAATGAATGGTCTTCACCTAATTGTATAGAACAATTAACCTTGAATATTTTATTTTTAATATAAGATATAAGGAATTCTTTATTTATTTACTTATTATATATATATATATTTCCATTTTGTATTACAATTGGATCTTTACTTTGTGTTTATACTTTTTTGCAAAGGAACGAAGTATCACTTTACTCGTAGGCTATAGCTTGAAGAATTACTTTTTAATTTTATTTCAAATTTTGCAGCTCAATGCGCAAAATTCTTGACCTCACAGGTCCTTTTTGTTTAGTTCATAAGCTTTTCTTACATTATATTATATACAAGGAAGTTATACAAAAAGATTAGCAAACATTACAGTTTACATGAATTGGCAGTTCAACAAATTAAAGGTTCAACAAATTAAATCTTTGATCTGATTCTTTGTGATGTATATGCTATTTAATCAAAGAAAATTAAAGGGCTCCTAACTATTTGAGAGAAATTGGGTTAATTTATCATGTTAGGAATTTTGATGGTTTATTTCAACATTAGATTTAAATTTACGATTTTTGAAGCATTTCAAACCTAAATTCTTTAAATATATGTATAAAAAGTATATTGTTTCCTTTATAAATGAAGTACATTTTTAATATGACTTATAGGAAATATTTTTTTTTCATAACAAAACTTTTCCTTTTTTTTCATTTACTTATTTTTCTCAAGCAAAGTTAGACCAGAATATAATTTCTAGGTTTAATATAAAATTTATATGCTTTCGGCAAATCCAAAGATAAGCTTTCAAAAAAAAAAAAAAAAAAAAAAAAAAATGTAGTCTATCACGCCATTATCGTTTTAGCTGTTGTAATTTCCAGTATCATGAATCAGATGGCTACCTATTATGATTTAGTCTAGAAAATTGGTAGTTTACGATATCAAAAAATTCGAAAATTGTGTAAAATGACTTCGGATGTTTTTCTAGAGAAACTGCGATTATTTACATTATAAATGGGAAAAAAGAAAAAGAACATCCACTACGATCCAAGCAAGACAACATGAATCCTGATCGAATAAACTAAATTCTGTGAATGCTAACTGCACTAATCATAAATATATCTCACAGTCATTTTGTCAGTATCTTTATTGAAACTAATACGATAGTCATTGATATTTTATTTTTCTCGCCATGCTTTGAAAAATAATTCTAATTCCACTGGTTCTAAGAACTGAATTCTAGTCTTGCTTTGAAAAGAAACAAAAATGATTTGCATTAAAATTTATAGCTTTTCCTCGATTTTTATTCATTTATTGCATCTAAGTTAACGAATGATCTCTTGGCATCACATGCCGAAGAGAATTTAATTCTTTATTTTATTATTAATTTTCAAGTGGAGAGATCTCTTACTGTTTGTGCGAAATTTAAATAATTATATCTCAGAATAGGAATAAAAAATGCCATGGGACACTTACTGCATGCGTTTTCATCTGATCCATCGCTGCAGTCTGGCAAGCCATTACAGAACAATTCTCTTTCTATGCAGTCTCCATTACCACATGCTAGCTTTCCTGTTTCACACAGAGGTTCGTCAGTTGCCAGAAGGGGCGTTGCCAGGCGAGGCTCTATTAAAAAAAAATGCAAATATTATTAAACTTGTTACTTTTGTAAATGCCACAAATTCCTCATATTTTTAGCCATGTCTACTAATGCCGATGAACCTATCTCAAAGCATTTATAACATCACTTTTATCAAGACGATTATTCTCTTCATATTCCGTGTTATGAAGATTTCACGGAAACTTGTAGAAGAAATAGGTTATGAGTCAGACTTAATTAGGTCTATAATTCCTAGACTTAAAAGCTATTTTAAATTATATCTAATATTAAATTATTAAAGATCATCATTTTGAGACTTGACAGTTAATAATGACTTATCTTCCCTTTCCTTCGCCTACTTTTAGATGCTTTATTTATCAAGCTTCCCCTCTTTTTTAAGTAAAACTATTTATGGGTTTCTCATTTGCTTTCACTTTTTGGCTTCCTTTCCTCCCCCCTACAAGTTTTCCCCAAAGTTTTCAGTTTTTATTTTGGATCTTATAAAGAATAACGTCTTGCGTCCGAAAATGAACCCCGAAGATGCTTAATTTTTTTTTCAATTTTATTTTGTTCATTTTATGTCTGAATTTATAACTTCATATTTTTATTGTGAAAGATACATATATAGCAGACATTTTAATGAGCATTTTCTATGTGTTAGAGCTTAAATTGTGCCGGCTCTACTTCTTTATTTTTCAAATAAATTTTTATTTATTCAGAGCAGCAGTTCGGTTGTGTAACTGAACTACAATTTCAGCAGAAAAGTCTTTTGATCTGGAAAATTTTATTTTAATAATAAATCTTAAAATTCGATTTTAAATGCTTGCTTCTCTTTTCCAGGGAAACAAACCCTTAAACGGAGGTTAAGCCTTTTAACGGAAGAAAAGCCATAATCTATAAATCTAAGGCTTATCCTACAAGAAGGGCAATGGATTTATTAAAGCGGATGAAGGTTTCATTTTCGAAAGGATTCAAATTTATCATCCTGGCCATGGACTTTCAACGCTAGATTTCTCGTGGAAAGGAGCACCCACAGATTTTTTTGAAACGATGTAATCAAATACAGAGGATGACAATTGTCACTTGTACAAAACTTTACATTTGTTCTCACATAGATCAAGCCTTGGTTTCGGGGATTTTTAAGCCCCTTGTCACATTCTGCTTGGCAGGTAGTATTATATCGGCAGAAGATCGTGGTCAGAAAGTATCGAGCTCTTCTCTTTTTGTTTTCATAACTAGTGTTTCTAGAATTCTCTCTCTTCTCATTAGTGACGCTCTGACTATTTTTCATTAGTGTGCGTGAAAAAGAATGGTCTTTGTTTTTATCATTCCTTGAAATAGTACATTATATTGCATATTCAGGATTTAAATTCATCCGGCGCCTGACTGAACTATTTCTTAGTTTTTGAGTGTAAATGAAATTCCAGACAAAGTCCCAAATAATACCAGGTCCGCTAGTTTGTTTTATTATTCAACTTTATTTTATTAATTTAATAATATATTAAATTCGTACTTATCTCTTTACATTTTATTGAAAATTAATTTGAATTACGTATTTTATTTTTTTATTTTTGTTCCTCTTTCTTGACGGCTTTCCATAGGGCTCCCGCACATCTAATTTTAAGAATTAAGCCCTGCAGTGCGTTGAGGATCACTGAGACGTCAATTATCAAGGAAGTTGTTGGTGTTGCAGGCCTGTGCGTATGGTCGACGAGGTTCTGCTCTCTAGTTCTAGTCGAAGTTCAGGTCTTTTATGTATCGGACAGTGTCTGTCATTCTTATAAGAGATGTAGATAATTTTTTTAGAATTTTCATATCGTATTTGTAGTTTATATAAAGCATTTAAAGGACTTCAATTTATCCAGTTTCATAATTTTTATTTTTGTCGTTTATCCATCCGTAATTTCTTTAATATGTAGGTGTTAATATTTTTAAAAGTAAATTGCTGTTATCTTTGGATGCATTGGAAATGTAATCACAGATAGCAGTTAATTTTATGTGTGATTAATCAAGGATTCTGGTTCCTGCCCCCTAATAGAATTTGGGATTTAAGAAATTTCACGCTATTAATTAGAATGGAAAGATGACCTTTACTTTCATGTTTGGACAGAATACTAAAAGACGATGCTTTTTAATATTAGAACATCAAAATAAATATTATTATTTGTGTAGTATATTTCAAATATTAACGGTAAAAAGGTTGCCAGAGTTAAAACTTGGAGAAAGCAATGTAGTGAAATATTTTCGGCCAATTAATTTTTTGATATACCGAATAGGTGTCCTGTTAAGCTTACGCTATTTGCCTGTTTAGTTAGTCTGCCGCTTAACGTCGTCGACTATCAGTATATTACTTTAAAAATTTTATATCCCCATCTTTCTGGGCTGTAATGTATATTTCAAACTAAAAGCAACTTTAAAATCAAAGACAATGCATTGCATGTACGTCTGCATTGCTAATGGTTTGATATTAGCTCCAATTCAAACAAAATTTGACCATCTGGCAGAAGTGCAGGTATATTAGATTATTTCGTGATTTGTTAAATTTAAAAATTAACAACAAAGAACACAACTATTCTAAACTTCGAACCTTATTTATTTCGAAGTTTGGAATGAGTTGTGTACGAAGTTCACAAACAACACTTAAAGCGCCTATATTTAGTTGATAAACTTTCTTGATTTGAGCACATGTTAAGTACGTCAGAATTTAAAAAAAAAATTGATATGGAATTAAAATTCAGTTTATTTAGTACAAGATTATTACGAAATTAGACCCGAACGAAGTCAAGAAACTTGTCAGAGGAGAGCATCTGTATGCAAGCCAAGAATATGTCAAGAAGAATTTCTAAAGCTATCAAGAATTTATTTATTTATTTATTTATTTTTACCGGTTTTCTGGACTCTTTTCAAAAGAAACTTCGGCAAATTAAATGCAAATAAGACAGGTTTACGCTGTTTCAGGAGGTTATTTGTGCATACTTTTACATTTACTTCGGTGTTCATCTCTTTAAATAGACAGATGTCAAGACTTATCTTTGCTTACGCATTTTATGTTCAGCATCATTAAATAAACTTAACCCATATTCATTTTTAAATTTAAATGTTTTTTCGATGTATTTCTCAAAAACCAAGGCTTGATCTATGTGAGAACAAATGTAAAGTTTGTTCTCACATAGAATAAAAACTCAATATAATCTGTGTTCAATTTAAATTTATCAATACTCTCCGTTTCATACAAATAACTTCATAAATAATATAGAATAGTAACATTTAATTAAATTTGTCAGATAGGCAAGTAATATAGTAATCATAGGTCTTTTACAAATGCTCGTGTTGATGGCTTGAAGCCATCAACACGAGCATTTGTAAAATGAAGTGACAAAATGATTGTGTGCCCGGTTCCTTCCCGATTTTGATGAAGAACTCTCAAAAGAGTTAGAATCGTCGGTTTTGTATTACTATTCTACATTCATCCTCTTAACGAATTTTCCTCCTGCCCTCCCGCATTCTAGATAAATGGCCCATATTGCTAAAACATTATATAGCGAAAACCATCCGTGCATATTCTGGGATTAGATCTCGAGCAGAACAATTTACCAGCCGACTTTGCTAATAAACATATCAAGAGAAAGGAGACATAACTTGGAACTAAACATAACAATAACTTATTTCGTTAAAAGGATGTGCGTCTTCTGAAGAGGAATGAGAACAAAGTATGGAATTATTGAATGGATTACATTTAATCAACGCTACTGAATGAATTCAAATTAGTTCTATTTTTTATAAAAAAATTTAATAACATGTTAGTGTCTTTTCCTGTAATTATATAAGATACAAAATAAGTTTCACTTAAAGAATGCATTTTTAACAAAATTGTGAAGGCAAGAAATCTGAGTTCTTTGCCAAAATATGAATTATCCGCACTTACATTTTTTTAAAAAAAATCCTTACTTTATAACATTGCTTTCAATTTTTTTTAAGTAATGAAGGAATAAAATAATAGTTTATATTTTCATTTTACGACGTTACATCTAGAAAGCTATAGATCGTAATGTACTAAGTTATTTGGACTTCTAAATTATTACGTTTTTGCATATTACTTATGTAATAGGTTTACTTCCAATGCGGTTAATTATGCATTACATAATTACGAAATTTTCATTTTGAGTCGCAGAACTTACTCTCGAGTTGTTCGCAGTTTTTGACATTGTTCTTCCAATCACAAGTCTGCTTTTCGATGTCAAAAGCGAGACCTGAAGGACATCTTAAAGCCAAAAGACCTTGCACAGAACACCTGACAACATCCCTGCAGTCATCATCAGCTGTTAAACGGAAATATTCACTTGGAGATCTGTTCTTACAAAGTTCTGCATCATTCTGGCCGTCTATCTGTCGTTTGACAATAGATACTGACAAAGCTAGAAAGAGAAAAAAGAAAGTTTCATTATTTAGTTGTAGTTTTTAACACAAATAGTTTTTATGTTAAATATTATTGTGAAAGTAATAAAAACATTTATAGAACATTATATTTGGTTGGCCTGAGTGTTAAAATTTATCAAAGTGGTTTTTGAGGTTGATACGTCATTAATAAGAGACAATGTCCGCTTAATTTTAAGTTATACTTTCAGTTTTATTCATTTAAAATCATTCGAAAATAACTAACAGTTTCTCAACTTTAGACAGACATACCAATTCAAGTTTTGTAGACAGAATGCTGAAAATGTTACGTTAATGAAAGGATTGGAATTTAAGATCTTTATGGATGAAAAAGAATATATATAGTTATTTATATATGAAGCTTACAAATGAGTTTCTAAACGCACGCGTTAAAATTCATTCTAACAATCAGAAACATCTTGGAATAATTAACAAAATTTTATAGAATATGATTATGATTCTTCATAATGATTCTTTCCACCTCAGATTTTCTTGTACCATATAAACCATATTCAATGCATGTCTCTTCAAGAGAGAATAACATAGAAAACTGCGTGTGGCAGCATCACTGGAGCATTAGGTTGTTAATTGCTATATAAACCAGGAAATTTAAGCTAAGACAGGACATTTAAGGAGGGAGTAACCGTACGAAGTTTTGCTGTAGCTATTTGAATCAATATAATTACTTGAATTTTTCTGAACTGAAAAAAAAAAAAAAAAAAAAAAAAAAAAAAATTCGCACTTAAAAAAAACTGACACCATAAACTGTTTCCATTTTAAACATTGCTAACCAAAGTTCTTCTCATTCTTTTTCACAGAAAGGTATTGATTGAATATGTTACTTTCTTCTATAGAACTTGTATATTTACTGTAATAACTTAATACTTACATATGATGGGAACAGTATTTTTAATTACAGCACTCTGGGGAGACTAAAGTGGGGGTAGAGAATTGGATTGGTGCCATTTCAAATTCGTAATATTCCGTCTCAGTTTCATGGTATTGTCAACTTTTAAGAAAATGTGATCAGTTTTCTTAATACGGTTCATGCCAGAAATAAAACAATACTACTTCCCATTTGTATTCTTAAAAGTTTTAACGTATACAGAAACTTAATTCTACTCTCCCCCCTTCTGAATGAAAGTTTAGATTATGCATTTGATGGTTTTCCCCCATACTGCCGTTTGCTGATATCTCGCCCAAATCATCGCTTGCAGTATATTTTCCTTTTAAAGATTGATTTTTGACTTTAACCCTTATGACCTTGCCTAAATATAGCAATTGTGGCGACATGGATATTTCCAGGAAAGAAAGTGATCAAAATATGTATGAAGTGCCACTTGGAACTAGGACAAAAGGGAAAAAATAATAACCACCCGATTAAGTCGGTTCCTCTTGCCGGGCGTGTGCGTTCATCCGCCTAAGTGCCTGCAGCGAATTCTTTGTAGAAAGTGAAGGAAAAAATGAAGACAATAAAATTCTTTCCAGAAAAAAAAAGAAAAAAGTGACATTTGACATAGATAGGGGTGGTGAGCGATTCCTCGGAGGGCGTAAGGTACATAACTTAGGAAAGTTCAACCTCACTTTCCTCTTTGAAAATGTCCCCTTCAAAAAACCAGTTTTTTAATCGTGTCAGCGACATCATTGTGTCTGTCTCTCAGTTAGAATATGGCAAAGAAAAATTCAATAAATAATTCTTTTCTCCTGCTGGGTACTTTCAAATCTACTATTAATTTTTGGGTCATATAAAATGTAAGATAAATGGTTTCTGATAATTATAGATCATATACGTAATCTTTCGAGTTGAATTTATTGCTTCTTTAATGTACTTTAAAATAACGGTAAACTGAGCCACTGCCAAGGAATTCTTTTTTTTTTTTTTTTTTTTTTTTTTTTTTTTTTTTTGATGTGATAGATTACTGTGAAAATTTTGATAGATTACTATGAAAATCTTGAAGACTCATAATGATTCTGTATTAATATTAGTTCCGAAATGATTAATCTTTCGTTGCATGACTGGATTTTTTTGCAGTTGTGCATAGAAATATTCATCATTCTAGTCCTGATTTATAACCTTTTCGTAATTCACCTGTTCATCATTATGGACTTACGTATAACCTCTCTCCATGATTATCCTTCATCTCATAATGAGATTAATTTGCGTGTTTCAAGTATAAAATATTTCTGTGAGAAAGATTGATGGTCTCGATAACCAAACAAAAAATTGCAGCACTTTGACGATTCATTTATGCATTTATAAATTTTCGGCAAAACTCTTATTTGGAGGTCGCCCAAAGAGATACTACACACTATTATGTTCATTTCGATCCTTGCTGCTTTCGTCTGGTGAGTTTATTTTATTTTTTCGGTAAAGATATATTTCCATAGTAGTACATCATAGGAAAGTTAGGCTTTAGTGCCAGCTGCAGAACATGTTTAAATGCGATATAGACGGTAAAGGAAGTTTGACAAATGTAATTTTGAGTGATTGTAATGCTAAACAAACCATTTGACATAATACTTCATCGGATTCCTGAGGTTGTGTGGCTGATGGGAAAGTTCTATGTTTTCTAAAAACATATACGAGTTCTTTATGAAAAATAAATCCATTCTATACAAAAAAAAAATTCTATAATAATAATAATAAATAAATCTATCCGTGAAAAAAATTAACTGACATTTGATAGGATAAGTGAATTATTGTTAATGAAACAAAAGTGATCAATCAAATAAGATTAACTTTAGTGTTTTTAAATCCAGCATAAATAAAAGAAAAATACATCTAGTACACTAGTACAAGAAGCTACTTGTCACTGGTGTATAAAACTGTAAAATAATGAAAAAAGCAAAAGTGCTATTCTTGGAACTTCTAGTAATCCCACTAAACTCTAAGAAAAATCTTGAAATTTTAGTTAAAGATAAAAAAATTTAATTGATTTTCATAAAAATATTTCAAATGCCATATAGATATTCACAATTAGTCTAGACAAGTAGCCTTAGATTAGCCTGAATTTTGAATAAAACTTTATCGATTTCAATGGAGATAAGATATAAATTTCTCTTCTTCAGAAACAAAAAGATTTGTAATACTTCTTTTGCTTCTGATGAAGAGGGACCTATGTTTGATCGCCCTCAAAATCAATAGAGGGATATGCAAAAAGCTAGCTGAATCTAAGCTTGCGCTTGCTCTTTCGTTTATTACTTTATTTAATTTTAAATTTTACATTGGCCAGTTTCTCTTTCAATTAGATAACACAGATATTTAACACCTAATTATGATGCAGTTATGAGCAGCAAAATTATCAATTTTCATATTGCCTGGCGTATGAACAATCACGCACATGTGGAGATATTCTGCGACGTAGCGAGGGTTAGAGTTTATTTGATTGGAATTTGGAAAAATTTACTTTGAAAAATGTGTAGCAAAAAGTTTGAGATGGAAGCTGTCGCAAATGTTAAGTTACCTTATATTGCAAAACAAAGGAAAATCGATTTTATGAATTTCCAGGTTTAGATTAGATCTTTGCAAAACTCATGAGAGTTATTTCTCGAAAGGAGGGATACATTCGATGAGAACATTTTAACGGAAATTGGCTGGTATTTTCATCGCATGCATATGAAATCTCGTGGATGACATATAAATAATTTGATAAACTCTGTGCCATTACTTTTCATAAAGTACTGCAATCTATTTTATATGTCGACAACGCTTATCATGTGATGTAATATGGTTAGTCTTTTGAAAATATAAATTGAACAAGATTCTATAAATATGCATATGCAGTTTTATCTCCTTTTTTAATATCCAATCCTATGCTCCATTTCATATTTGGGATAGATTTTTGCTTCTAAACATCGATGCGAGTTTTTAAGCTGTAACATCAGTCTGCCATTTTATCTATTTATTGAACATATCAATCATAACCATAGTACGAACGGATTCAGAAGATGTTTAGTATTGTTTGACATTGTATTGCAAGTATTTGCTTAGAAAATATTAAATAAAAAAAAAAAAAAAAAAAAAAAAAAACAGATTATTCCCATATTCCCATCTGTTTAATCCATGTTTTCTTCAGTAATATTTCTAAAAAATTTTGTCTAATTTAATTTAAAAATTATCTCAGATCTTCATCTCTAATTTTTTTGTAACTTATTTCCATTTTTGGTTAGTGCATTGCGCAGCGGCACCACTGGAATGGGTTCAATCTCCGGGCTTGGCAAGGTCCCTTGAATGGGTCGAGAAAATGAGTAACAAGTTCACTTGGGAACTAAACTTCGGGGATCTTCCGACAAGGTGACCACTTATCCGGAGCATATGCTCAATGACTCAAGAACCTTGGTCAGGAAAGCAGATATCGGGACACTGCAGGCCATGGCCCTCTAGTGCTGTTGAGCCACTGATTTTTTAGTTAGTTTATTTCCTTTTTTAATAAAATTCTTGCATAAATGTTTACATCATATAACTGTTATACAAGGAATGGAAGCATTTATATTCAAAATTTAGAATCAAGCAAAACTTAGATTAATTTTAATTTTAGGAGAGAATTTTACGGAATTCGAAAAACTGCATGTCAATCTTCTTCGAAGTGCAAAGATTTTTCTGTAACTAGATGTCAAGCCTGCCTAATTTTAAACAATTTTTCGTATCAATTTTAGCCTCTTTTTTTTTTTTTTTTTTTTTTTTTTTTTTACTTTACTTTAATACAAGTACCGAAAAATTCAGGCAGAATTTCCAGTGTCGTATTAATTTACTAATGTCAATCAAAACAAATTAAATATTTTATATTGTATAGGTATTTACCGTTTACGTAAAAGCAAACAATGCCACCATTAATTTATTTAAATAACAACAAATGATGAATATGATATGCATAAATGGATATATATATGACATGTATAAAATTATATTCATCGTAACTGATAGCTATCGAACTAAATAATATTAATGAGTTTCAGAAAAATTTGCAGTTACAGACCTCTT